GAGTTAAGTGCAAGTTGCAAGCGCAAGGAGTCAAGTGCAAGTTGCAAGTGCATGGAGTCAAGTGCAAGTTGCAAGTGCAAGGAGTCAAGTGCAAGTTGCAAGTGCAAGGAGTCAAGCGCAATTGACTTACGAGGAGTCAAAATCTCTGCTTAGGGCGGCGGATAGTGCAGACGACGCTCTACGAAAATCGACCCTCTGCGGGGATTGGCGTGGTCGAGGTGCAAAAACTCGTGGTTTTTTTTGCGATTTTGTTTTGGCTCTGCGGGGTCGAGGTGCAAAAGCTCCAGGTTGTTTGCGTTGTTGTTTGGGCCCGCGCGACCCTCTGCGGGGATCGGCGTGGTCGAGGTGCAAAAACTCGAGGTTTTTTGCGATTTCTGCGGTGCTCGCGCGACCCTCTGCGGGGATCGGCGTGATCGAGGTGCAAAAACTTGAGGCTTTTTACGATTTCTGCGGTGCTCGCGCGACCCTCTGCGGGGATCGGCGTGGTCGAGGTGCAAAAACTCGAGGTTTTTTGCGATTTCTGCGGTGCTCGCGCGACCCTCTGCGGGGATCGGCGTGGTCGAGGTGCAAAAACTCGAGGTTTTTTACGATTTCTGCGGTGCTGGCGCGACCCTCTGCGGGGATCGGCGTGATCGAGGTGCAAAAACTCCTTTTGTTTTTTTGCCGATTTCTGCGGTGCTCGCGCGACCCTCTGCAGGGATCGGCGTGATCCAGGTGCATTTTTTTTCGATTTCTGCGGTTCTCGCGCGACCCTCTGCGGGCATCGGCGTGATCGAGGTGCAAAAACTTTGTGTTTTTTTTTTACGATTTCTGCGGTGCTCGCGCGACCCTCTGCGGGGATCGGCGTGATCGAGGTGCATTTTTTTAACGATTTCTGCGATGCTCGCGCGACCCTCTGCGGGGATCGGCGTGGTCGAGGTGCCAAAACTTTTGTTTTTTTTTTAAGATTTCTGCGGTGCTCGCGCGACCCTCTGCGGGGATCGGCGTGATCGAGGTGCAAAAACTTTTTTCTTTTTTTTACGATTTCGGCGGTGCTCGCACGACCCTCTGCGGGATCGGCGTGGTCGAGGTGCAAGAACTCAAGGTTTTTTACGATTTCTGCGGTGCTCGCGCGACCCTCTGCGGGGATCAGCGTGATCGAGGTGCAAAAACTCGAGGTTTTTTACGATTTCTGCGGTGCTCGCGCGACCCTCTGCGGGGATCGGCGTGGTCGAGGTGCACAAACTCGAGGTTTTTTGCGACTTTTGTTGTTCGAGCTGGTTCTCGGGAGTTGTCTCGTGGTTCGCGCGCCTGCTCTCGGGACCGGCGGGTCGCGGGCTCGATTCCTCCCTGGTCCGCGGGCTGGCTTCGCAAGCTGCGCGGAGCAACTTGCAGGGAGCAACTTGCACGGAGCAACTTGCACAGAGCAACTTGCACAGAGCACCTGCGCAGAGCAATTTGCGCAGAGCAACTTGCACAGAGCAACTTGCAGGAAGCAACTTGCACGGAGCAACTTGCACGGAGCAACTTGCAGGGAGCAACTTGCACGGAGCAATTGTCACAGAGCAACTTGCAGGGTGCTTCTTGCGCAGAGCAACTTGCACAAAGCAACTTGCGCAGAGCAACTTGCACAGAGCAACTTGCACAGAGCACCTGCGCAGAGCAATTTGCGCAGAGCAACTGACAGAGCAACTTGCAGGGAGCAACTTCTACGGAGCAACTTGCACGGAGCAACTTGCAGGGAGCAACTTGCACGGAGCAATTTGCACAGAGCAACTTGCAGGGTGCTTCTTGCGCAGAGCAACTTGCACAAAGCAACTTGCGCAGAGCAACTTGCGCAGAGCAACTTGCACAGAGCACCTGCGCAGAGCAACTTGCGCAGAATGGTCACGGGGCTGTGATGCTTTCGGGCCAACCGTGGTCTAGTTATTGGTTGTTGTTTATCATTTGTAATTTGTGGTTTATCGTTTATAGTTTATCGTTTGTGATTTATAGTTTGTTTTTTTGTGGTTTGTGGTTCGTGGTTTACTCCTGTGTTGATTGTAATTGTAAACGCTGCGCGTTGCCCGCCTCGGCCCAGCCGAGCGCGCAGCGTCTGTGGTTCGACTGCAAGCAGCAGAGCTGGTCAAGTGGCGATTCAGGCACGGACAGGTCCTGTGTCAGGCAAGGCAAGGCAATGCGCAGGACACACGCTGGGCTGGCCTTGCTTGGGTTGGTTGTGGTTGTGGTTGTGGTTGCGGTTGCGGTTGCGGTTGCGGTTGCGGTTGCGGTTGCGGTTGCGGTTGCGGTTGCGGTTGCGGTTGCGGCTGTGTTTGTGTTTGTGTTTGTGCTTGTGTTTGTGTGTTTGTGTGTTTGTGTTTTTGTGTTTTTTTGTGTTTTTGTGTTTTTGTGTTTTTGTGTTTTTGCGCTTTTGTGTTTTTGTGTTTTGTGTTTTTTGCGGTTTTGCGCTTTTGTGTTTTTGTGTTTTTGTGTTGGAGTTGTTGTTGTTGTTGTTGTTGTTGTTGTTGTTGTTGTTGTTGTTGTTGTTGATGATGATGATGATGATGATGATGATGATGATGATGTTGTTGTTGTTGTTGTTGTTGTTGTTGTTGTTGTTGTTGTTGTTGTTGTTGTTGTTGTTGTTGTTGTTGTCGTTGTTGTTCTTGTTCTTGTTCTTGCTCTTGTTATTGTGCTTCTTGTGGTTGTTCTGTTGGTTGTTCTTGTTGTTTTTGTTCTTGTTCTTGTTCTTGTTCTTGTTGTTGTTGTTGTTGTTGTTGTTGTTGTTGTTGTTGCTGAATCACCTTTGCGCAGACGTGCAGCCGCTCATGACATGCTTCCGTCAATTTGCGCGCTGTTGCTTGGATTCAGGTTTTTGCTAGGGGGGACTGGAGGAGCATGATATGCTCAGCGCCAATTGCCCAGTTTAACACGCCGCTACGCGAGAAGAGCCGCGGAGCAGACTGACTTCGCCTGCGTATGCGCGCGAATTCGCGCAGTCTTTAGATCCGACAAGAGCTGCGTCAGCTACGGCAAATCCTGAAGGCACAAACATCGCTAGCATCACCACCGGCGCAACTAAAATCTTTTCTGCACGGACTTCGTACATTGATACCAGTAGGTCCGGTCAAGCCGGTTTCAATATACAAGAAATATAGTTCAGTCTCTTTCTTTTTCATTCTCTCTTTTTCTCTCCCTCTCGCTCTCTCTCTCTCTCTTTCTCGCTTTCTGTATTTTTCTTTCTGTTTCTTTCTCTTTCCTTCTCTCTCTTTCTTTTTGGCTTTCCTTTTCTTGCTGTTGCTCTATTTTTTGTTTTTCCTCTCTCTCTCTTTCTATCTTTCTCTTCTTCGCTTTCTTTCTCTCGCTCTTTCTCTCTTTTTTCTTCTGCGTTTTTCCCTGGTTCTTCCTCATTTTTTGTTTTGTTTTTAACTTTCCATCTATTTCTCTGTCTGTCCCTCTATCCGTCTACCTACGTATTCTATCTATCTATCTATCTATCTACCTATCTATAAGTTTATTTCTCGATTTTCTCATCTAACGTAACGCAATCTAGCCCGTCTATCTGTCTATTTATCTGTTTATACATCTACCTATCTATCTATCTACCTATCTACTCTCACTTTCTGTGATATTCATCTACAGGTCTATCTAATCTACCTGCCTACCTACCTACCTACCTAATCTATCTATCTATCTACCTATCTATCTATCCATCCATCCATCCATCCATCCGTCTGTCTGTCTGTCTGTCTGTCTGTCTGTCTGTCTGTCTGTCTGTCTATCTGTCTATCACACTATCTTCTATCTATCTATCCACTTATCCATCTATAAATCAATCTTCTGAAAGCGCTGCACCTGCCACGAAATCCGTACCCGACCTCGTGAAGTACAGTGCCTGACACGGAATCTGAACCGCAAGTCTTGTGTCTGCCACGAAACCTGTACTTGACCTTGCGAACGTGCCTGCCACGAAAAGTGCTGTGCCTGCCACACAAACTAATCTCGCGAGAAGTGTGCACATCCGTGCCATGGTCCCAGCTCCGAACGTGCTCCGAGAGTGCTCCGAGCTTGGTTGGCCAGGCATCGCGATCAGGCAAACCTTCGACCATCCCAAAGCTGCAAAAACCGCAGAGGGTTGTTTCTTTTTAGACGTCTCTATTTTCCCGCCTTACGCGATGCTTTTTTATTCTTCTCTTGTGTTCTATCAGAGAGCTAGCTTTTACTTAGTTGCCGAGCCACGGAAGTTCCTTCTAAGCTTCCTCTGGCAATCACTACTCTGCTTATATAATGATCATAAGGGGTCGGCAGAGAAGTTTCCAGCATTTTCTTTGATTCAGGGTTGAAAGAAGAGTACCCCTGCAAGGGAGCCTTGGCTATCGAGTCAGGCCGGATGATGCGCAAGGAATTGCTCGTGGGCTGGTCTCACACGGCTGGTGGAGCGGCCGGGAGAGCGCGCACGCTCTTGGAATGAGATGTAGGTGTAGCGACGTTTGATCCTTGGCGAGGTCACTCTTGCTGTTTTTTTTTGAGCTCCAGGTGATTCGCAGCTGTCTCGATGTGTATGTATTTCCTCTTTCTGGGTTCTCGGACCAGGGTCTATTGCGGTAGTGTCCATTTAAGCGGTGCTTTTCCAGACAAAGCGGTTGGCTTCAGTACAGGAATGTTTGTTCATCGCCCCGCCATGGTGTTCGTGCCTTGACGTCGCTTAAGCGAGTGCCAGCTGATGGTGCTGGGAATGGTTCGAAAGCCTAGGCAAAAGACATGTGAGGAAGTGGTGCTCGTGCAAGACTTGCCAGTGGTGTTTGTCAACTTGCCTTCACCATGGTACACCTGAATGCTGTAGCCCATGTTTTGTGATTTGGAAGATACGCCCTGGAAGGCTATTAGAAGATCCTTTTGTAAGTTTGCCATGCAGCAGTTGGCTTTGCAAGCATCTTCTCGAAGCGGCGCGGATGTTTTCTGCATGCGCCTCAAGCAGTGCCAAGAAGTTGCCCCTGAGAAGGCTGGGGCGCAGATAAGTCCTGCATTTGGCGCCCTCGGAGGATGAAAGCGTCTTTGAAACCCGCTTGCGGCGTCTGGCGGACGAGGCGGGGAAGACATGCGATTCTCGGCCATGCCAGCCAAAACTCCCGGGTTTTGTTGCCCCAAAGGATAGGTAGGACTGATGCTCTTTGTTCAAAAGCACATTGACATCTCAGGCCCTGCGAACGCGCATGGAGACTGAGATGAAGGCAAGAGAGTCACACTGCAGAGTCATGGGAGCCCATTTTAAGTGCTGGTTGCTTCCCCTAGCAGTCAAGCTTTCATTTGAATTAGGGACCCTTTTCAAAAGTGATCGTTATACGGGATCCCCCATGGTGTTTCTCCCGCGTCCCTCAAGCCAGCCTGAAAGGGGTACAACGATACGTCACATGCCACTGGTTGCCACCAGTGAGTGCCTAGGACGCGCTGCTGCAGATGGAAGAGCAGGTTCGCACCTTCCAGGGTGTGGTGGACCGCAGGCTGCAGGAGCGGCTCTCGGCTCGCACGCTGGGCATTTCTGCGATTTGGAGCTCGTCTCCGGTAGGTTCTTGTGGCATTTCTTGGCTCGGAGAAATTGAAGTGAAGCACACTCAATTGGCATGGTTGGTGACTCCCAGCTTGCCGAAAGGCTGTTCGTGGCAACTGCCAAGATCCAAGATGTGTAACCCACCACAGACACAGACGCACAGACGCACAAACCACACAACACGCGACACAACCACACACACACAAACAAACATAAGCACACAAGCACACAAACAGAAACACTCACGCACACGTATCGACCCGGCACAGCCTTGCTTAGAGTGAGCAGAGGAAAGGCCAGGGTCCCAGCATGCAGATCAATTTTAAAGTGCGGATGACGGTTTCGAATGCCTTGGTTGTGGTTAGATGTCTCATGTCGATCTTTCCAAGTCCGTGATGGTTTGTTGGGGGGCAGTTTGATGGGGTGTCGGATGTCCACCAGCAAGCGGACATGGATGCCGGACATGTTGAGCATGCCGCACATCTCTTCAGAATTCCGCTTTGTGACCAACCCCAAGATAGACCTGAATGCAAGAGCTTCCCTTTTGGGGACATCAACCACTGGGGTAAAGTCTACCTTTGCGTTGATCAAAAGCTGCGAGCCTGTCTTTGGCGAGGCCAAGTTTATGGGCAGCTGCTCATCCAAGGGTCCTCGCCTTTGCCACATGGTCATAGGCCCCATAGGCCTTCAGGAGACAGGCTCATCCAGACGAAGACAACGTCATGCTTCTCCTTGTCAAGAACTGCAAGCCTGAGAACTGCAAGTCAAGACTGACTATCAGGTGTTTCTTGGCGACTGAAGCTGGATGATGTCAAGCAAAGGATAGCGGACGCCCAAGTGCTTGCACATTTCCTTATTTGTGTGGCTTTTGCTATGAAGATCAGGGCAGAAACTAGGACAACCTGGCAGGTTTGCCACATGAGGAGGAACTGCCTATCACTTTGGAGTTAGACCGGCTCACGAATGTCCGACCAAGACGATGAAAAAGCCCTGGAGGCGGCCGTATGCTGGAAACTTAGTGAAGCAAAAGGGCTGATCCTCAATTTCCAGTCTATGGAGGAGTCACATGGCGGGGGAGAGTCACGAAAGTTCCCACAAAATCCAGGGACTCGCCAAATATCCCATTGAACCGAATCCAGAGTATGTGGCTTGGACGCAAGCAGCTATTCAATTCCTGTGGGACGTGCCTGCTACTGGAAGATCCGTGACTCTCCTTTGGCTGAAGCGAATGTTTTATTTTTTCCTTTGCTCCAGTCCTTTTTGGTAGCTTTCAAAGGAGGTGGGGAGACAAGCAGAAATGGGCACCTGGTGCGTGAGTCAGCTTTTCCCAGGCGAGCGGCAAGCCTCCAGACATCAACGAACTCCGCCGAACTGCGTGTAGCTGAGCTTTGCATTGACTGGACATGCCTTGCAAGCATTGAGGTCAATGACCTCGAACAATGCCATGGTTGGTATGACAGTGAGGGGACTGAGACTCCGGCATGTTTGCAGGCTGCTTGGACAGCTGAAAACGGCATTCAGAGAATGTCAAAAGCTTGGTAACTGCGTGGGTGGATGAGGTGCCTCTGAGAGCAGGAAGAGAGGGTGTTTCGTAGCCAAAGAAGTGGCAGGATCGCGAGTCCCTTGGCATCATCCAAAATCTGGCGAACGCCATGGTGGAGGAGTTCACAGGGGAAGTTCGGCAAACAGCCACACGCAGAACTGCCCTATGACTCCATGACCTGCTTGATGGTGTAGGAACTTCACAGCTTGATGGATGTACGCCTGGTGCGAGACCATAGGCAAGACTTGCAGGCTTGGCACTCGTCCGTTTCCTTGCCGGGGTTCCATCTTGCAAGGGCCCAACACAAGTCTCACGATTCAGACAGTGCCATGTGGCGATGTCGCTTTGGTGTTTCGATGTAGCGTTCCGCTCAGCAAATGGTGGGCCTCAGCAAGCAGCTGAACAACTTCAGGGCTTGGTACCTAGAGCAAGGAGCATTCCGATGGCAAGACGGGACCGAGTTCATCATGAGGCAAACAAATCGGACATTGTCCAACAGAAGTTCAAGGCACGCCATGCTGTGATTGGCCTTGAGTTTCATGCTGGCGTTTGCCCTGTGTCAGGCAATCGTGACGCAAGTCCTTCGAGATAAACTACAAGCCACCGATAAACTGATGCCAGCCACTAGTTTGGAGTGCTTATGGGATCCTTCTGAGTTTCTCCGAGGTCCGGCATCGACGCAGATGGCTTGTTGCAGCTCTGCAAACGAGTGCAGCAACTCAGTTTGCAACCTGAGCAATCCGTCCGTGGCTGCTTTCTGCGACAGGTCGTACCGAACTTGCAGCAAGCGGCGGACCTCGTTTCGCAGGCCAGGCGAAACGCGCATTCTTGGTTAGCATCAGAGGATGGAATGCTAAGCTTTGTAATGGAGGATGATGAAACGAGAGGCTGGGGCAAAAATAGTTCTGAGCAGACTGGGGCTGAAGTTCTATGGTCATATATATATATATATATAGATGGTACCCCCCAAAAAAACATAAACCCAGGTTTGTCTTAAAACACTGGTATTTGCGGTGTTTTTTTGACAAAACATAGCATCTGCCAGAACACTCATTTTTCAGGCCATCTTTCTGCATCTGTACAAGCCTCTCATCTGCCAAAACCAGCCCATACTGCAACCAAGTACCATGCTGGCATAAGGGCATCTATTCAAGGAAGATACCAGGAAAACTGAAAACAACTGACAAACAATGATTATGCAAAAAAAACACACTGAAGCACAACTGGAAAAACAACAAAAAACAAAGGAAACACCAAGGACTTGACATGGCTGGGTGGGGGGCAGTTATTTCAGTTGTTTCAGTTATTTTAGTTTTTTCAGTTATTTTAGTTGTTGTTCTTACAGTTTTGCTGGGCATCTGAGCAGAACCGGGCCCACATTTCAAGCTGTCTGGCTCCAGTGCTTCCTTGCTCCTCTTATGCCCTTGTTCTGATCCTGTTCTAGCATGGCCAAGGCCTCCAGCTCTGCTGGAGTATACCTGGTAGAGAGAGAGAGAGAGGGGCAGTCATAGCGATAAAGTGAGAGATTTAGCCGTATAGATAGAGGGAGAGAGAGAGAGAGTGATAGTTATATAGATAGAGAGAGATAGTTATAGCATAAAGAGTTTCTTTTTATAGATAGGTGGCCAAGTGGACCAAGTGGCCGAAGCCATTTGCCACTTGCTCCTTGAGCAGATGTACATAGATGGACACACATGGGCAACTAGAGAGAGAGGGGGGATAGTCATAGAGAGAGGGCGGGGTAGTTATAGATAAGGATAGAGGTAGGTATGAAGATAGAGAGAGGGAGAGTGGCAGTTGCACAGAAGAGATATAGTTATACATAGGGAGATTTTGTTTCTGAGAGACAGGGGCAATTATATAGATAAGCATAGAGATCTAGGTATGAAGGTAGAGAGAGAAAGAGTGTGGTAGTTAGACAGAGAGAGCCACAGTTATATATACATAGAGAGGTTTAGTTATAAAGGGAGAGGGCCAGTAATATAGATAAAGGTTTGGGTTTATGTATATAGATAGAGGGAGAGAGGGACAGTGATAGCTTTATACAAAGAGACAGAGAGAGATAGTTAGGGCATGTGCAGTTATACGAATAGAGAGAGGGTGATAGTTATATAGATAGAGAAATACAGGTTTGTGGATAGAAAGATAGAGAGAGAGAGAGAGGGATGTGTATATGACAGAGATTTAGGTTTCTTGCATGTAGATGGAGAGAGATAGTTATTTATAGAGCCAGATGTCTTCTTGATAGAGATAAATGTAGTTGTATAGATAGGGACAGGGATTTTGGCATGCCTGTACACAGAAAGATATGGAGATAGGCATACATGTATAGAGGGAGACGAGGGAAGCAGACGGCTTCGCCCCACCATTGCGAGCCACGCTTTATTTTCTTGCATTCTCTTACGAAGCTACAACAGAACATGAACCTGAGAGGACACCTACAGCCCCAGATGCATCAACAACCAACGCCAGGGCAGCGTGCAGATGGCCGTACGCCTTTCGCAAAGGCTTAAGATATTACACGGCATTTTTGCAATCCGTCATCTGTGACTCCGTTAAGCCTGGAGATTCTCACAGGAAACCAGTCGTTTTCGGGAATGAAAAGGACTTGTATCTCATGGCCAGGTTCCCGAGATGGAGGCAGAGTACATCAAGTGCTGCAAGGGATTCTGCCGCTTGGCCTTTGAATTTCTATCGGAGCAGGTACCCGTGTTGCAGCACATCTGTAGAATGCTGGTTCCATGCCATCGGATTTCGGCACTCTTGCACCTTTTTGACATGACTGTGACATGACTAGCTTCTCGCCGTCCACAATCTCCCTTTTGGAGTCCAGGATGAACCTCTGCATTGATTTCACATTCGTGGATGTACTGTGATGAGCTGGACAGGCGAGGTGGTTCTCACCTTGCTGCCCGCAGCTTTGGTGGATCGCGCAAGGCCTTGCTGCTCCGAGTTGGAAGCTAAACTCTTTCCAACAATCATGGCATGCGGGTTTTGGCACGCTACCATGAAAAAGGTAAGCATCCTGTCCACCTCCTTGAGTGTTGATTGTTGAAAAAAGGTAGGGCTTGAAGATCCCCACGGCCTGCTCTCCGAAAAAGAGCGAACAGGGCAAGCTGCCGGCAGGGACATGGACGAGATTTCAGAGCTGGCGTCCAAAGCAGATAGCACGCTCCGGCCGCCCGTCCCTCGCAGTCCAGCGCTCAGAAAGGAGCGCCACGGACACAGCGAGTGACAGCGCGACGGAGGCAAGGCTTGGGAGCCGCTGGCCCCCAGGGTCAAGGAGGCGGGTTGGCACAGACGGGTGATCCGCGCCTCGGTGGCCTGCCTTGAAGTTCGCACATGGCTGCTCTTTTTTTGCGCAAGCCAGACGCAAATCGAGGGCTGTTCCAAACAAAGAGAATAGCTTTTGGGACGCTTTCGTGACAGCTTCAAAAGGGAAACACGGCGGTGCTCTGTTTTGAACAGCCCTCAACTGTCAACCTATAATTGGGTACGTCTCAAAATAAGAACTTGGACCAGCTTTCCGTTGATTGCCTTTCAACTGGCCTTAGAACATGGGTCACCATCTGAAAAAAGACCGACCGGCCGGCTTTTGGCGGGACGCGTGCCCCCAGATGCGTGAAGCCGTGGCGCTGAGCATCGCTTCCTCCAAGTTGGAGCAGCTGCAGGCCGGTGGACAAAGCAATTTCGGGGGGCGGTTTTTGTTTTGAATGCAAAAGGCATCAGCTCCATTTGGGTCTTGGCAATTCTGGGCTGAATGTTGTTGAACCAGAAAAAGTTCCAACTAGCATTTTCGTTTGATTTGGTCTTGTTGAAGCAATATATTTTGGTCTCCTTGAAAGGGAATCCAAGCAAGCGACTCAAAGGTGTCTACACGGCGGGTTGCCTCCAGGAAAAAACACACAGTTTTCCAGCTCTTCTGCGCTGGTTTGAACAGGTTCGGTCCCTTGGTTCTTGACACCCAAGCTGCTCAGGCCGTGGTCGCGGAGGATGTGCTGCAGACTCAAGTTTGTGGGTTTGGCTCAATTTACAGTTGGGTGAAAGTAGATGGCACACACACACAAACAAACATGGGGGTTGATTAATATTCCTGGCCCCCAAATGACCATGGTCACTTTTCCCATATCGTCTTTTTAGTGGTTTCCCCCCACATACATTTCCCCATCTTTGTATAGTCATCCCCTTTGCTTGTCACGCAAAAGGTGCCATCTGCTTTCACCCTGCTGCATACTGCCTCCCACATGGCTCAAGATTCCAAATATCCTTCCACAAGTGCTATGGATGGGCAAATCCTGGACCAGCTAGTAAGCAGGCTGTCAGAGGAAGCTTTGAAGGAACTTCCATGGTACTGGAATGTTTTTCTTTGAGGAGTACACGCATTGCGTGTGAAAGCATGAAGACATGCTGGGAATGGCCGAGCAGTTTCTGGACCGTCTGCGCACTTTCTGGCGGGTCGACCTTCAACAACTCACTTTCTGGCAAGCCAACAGGCTGAATAAGTATTTGGCTAGCTAACGTATCTGACGTATCTAGCCAACTAGCTAGCTAGCTCGCCTTCGAACTGATTAATTAACTACGCCAACAAGCTGCCTGACTCGCGAGCTAGCTAGCTGGCTAGCTGGCCAGCCAACGTAATTCACGAACAAGCAAACTCGCAAACTAGCTGACTAGCTAACTTGCTAGTGGCTCACTTTCCAACTAGCTAACTACTTCACAAGCAAACTAGCTACCTCGATGGCTAATTCGTTCACTGACTAACTAACTAATTTCCTAACTAACTAACTAATTAACTAACTAACTAGCTAGCTAACTAACTTAACTAACTAACAAGTATCTAGGCTGGCTGGCTGGCTGGCTGGCTGGCTGGCTGGCTGGCTGGCTGGCTGGCTGGCTGGCTGGCTGGCTGGCTGGCTAGCTAGCTAGCTAGCTAGAAGAAAGACGCGCACGTGTGGCTTGCGACTGCATTGACGAGGAAACATCTCCCAACCTATAGTTGCTTCTTTTGATGGCCCCCGTATTCAAAGAGTTTCATCCATAGGTTCAGGAGTTTGTCCATCCATCGCATATTAGCGGGAGGAAGGCTGCACAATTCCCAGTCGAATGACTTGCAGCTGCCGCTCTGAGGGACCTCTCTCGAGCTGGCACTCTTCTCGACGACTTCATGCACTTGTGCCCTTTGAGCAGTTGGGCTTGTCTCCAAATGGGGGAATGCCCCCCAGAAGGTTCCCCGCAATGGGTTTTTTGCCTTTGGTTTGCCATTCTGTTCAGGTGCAGAAATCCAGATGAGGAGCAGAAAGCCAAGCTGAGGGGCGGCTCGGCCATGGTAGTGTAGGTGGTGCCTCCACAGCGGTCGTGCTTCGAGCAGGCTGCATGACCAAGCTGGTGGAGACCGTTCAGAGTGCCTTCGATCAGGTGCTGTCCGCATGTGCAATGATGTTTGCAGTGTGGCATTGTGTTGCGTGCAATAGCGCTGCCTGTGCGGTGACATGTTATTCAATGGTTTGCATGTGTGTGTGTGAGAGTGTGTCTGTGTGTGTCTCCCTCTCGCTCTCTCTCTCTCTCTCTCTCTGTCTCTCTCTCTCTCTCTCTCTCTCTCTCTCTTTCTCTCTATCTCTCTCTCTCTCTCTCTCTCGCTGTCTGTGCGCGCCAGTTTGCTTGCTTGCTTGCTTGCTTGCTTGCTTGCTTGCTTGCTTGCTTGCTTGCTTGCTTGCTTGCTTGCTTGCTTGCTTGCTTGCTTGCTTGCTTGCTTGCTTGCTTGCTTGCTTGCTTGCTTGCTTGCTTGCTTGCTTGCTTGCTTGCTTGCTTGCTTGCTTGCTTGCTTGCTTGCTTGCTTGCTTGCTTGCTTGCTTGCTTGCTTTGCTTTGCTTTGCTTGCTTGCTTGCTTGCTTGCTTGCTTGCTTGCTTGCTTGCTTGCTTGCTTGCTTTGCTTGCTTGCTTGCTTGCTTGCTTGCTTGCTTGCTTGCTTGCTTGCTTGCTTGCTTGCTTGCTTGCTTGCTTGCTTGCTTGCTTGCTTGCTTGCTTGCTTGCTTGCTTGCTTGCTTGCTTGCTCGCGCGGCTGTGCTTGGCTTGGCTTGGCTTGGCTTGGCTTGCTTGCCATGTCTTTGCAGCTGCATGTTGCTTACTGTGCAGGCTATCGATTGCGGTGACCCGGCTGGCATGCAGAGGTTGCTGGTTTGCGCCAAGGCGCGTGCCAAACTGGGACTGCGAGCGAGACTTGCAAAGGCAGCGATTCCACCGAGTCTTCGTTTTTGTAGAAACTCAATCCTGTTGCAAGGCAGAGACCTGATCAAAGCATGGATCCAGTGTGATTCGACCTGGTCAAAATGCAAACCAGCTTATGAACAGTGCTGAATTTACTTGCGGAGCAAGTTCAAGACAGAACTTTGCCTGCCATCTCATGTATACCCAGAACTCCAGTTTCGAGCTTTCAGCTTTGGGTAGTAGTTGAGTCGGGCAAATCCTGGGCGTTGCCAAAGTGCGCCGTTGCTGAAAATCTGTGTTTTGAGGGTACCCTTTTTAGGTTGGTTTAAAGGAAGGCACGTTATATTTTTATTTTTGTGAGTGCCCAATTTTGGCACACACCCAAATGACAGCTGCCCCTCCAACCCACAAAAAGGGGTGCCATCACAAAGGAAAACCCAATCCAGCTTGTGAAACACTCTGATGAGCTACCAACAATTGTGACTCACATCTTCTGCAATAGGAGGCGGAGTTTGCTGCGAGTGCATACTAGTAGTTCTCTGGGGGCAGTCATGGGTGTCTAAGCTTTGCTTGCCAGGATCTTGATGAGCACGAGAAGAAACTCTTTGGAGACCTGATCTCAGCCAGAGCTGAGATGCCTTGGTGATTTCTGGCGAAGGGGTTTTTGCCTTCCTGTCATGTGAGGAAGTGACACAATTGTTGCAATTTGGTTTTGGGGAGAACCTCGGGGCAGAAGCAGGCGCACAATCCTCTCTTCCCATGTCCTCTTGGGGAGCAAGCACCTTTGTCCGGGGCTAATGTGGCTTGTGCCGAGGCACATGCCGCAGCACCCATAGCCCGCAGTCTGGAGCAGAGAAAGCAGCAGCCTTGGAGAACGCAAAGCACAGAAGGGAAAGCACAGGCGTCGAATCAGAAGACCAACCAACTATGCCGAGGGCTGGGGTGACCTTGACCTCGCTCTTGGGCAATGCGGAGCGCAAGGTGAGCAAGCAGACTCAGGCAGCGCACGTGTGTTTTGTTTTCAGGCACCCGTTTTGGTGGCTCACCATTTTGTGACAGACCCACAACTGGCCCAGTTGCTGGAGCCGTTCGTAAGTGTTGTGATTGACTTAGGAGCTGCACCAACTCTACGAGGACACGGAGGTGACCTTCGCAGTGCGGCTGCGTGTGTGTGTGTGTGTGTGTGTGTGTGTGTGTGTGTGTGTGTGTGTGTGTGTGTGTGTGTGTCGGTGTCTTTGTCTGTGTCTGTGTCTCTGTGTCTGTGTGTCTGTGTGTCTCTGTGTCTCTGTGTCTCTGTGTCTCCGTGTCTCTGTGTCTGTGTGTCTCTGTGTCTCTGTGTCTCTGTGTCTGTGTGTCTGTGTGTCTGTGTGTGTGTGTGTGTGTCTGTGTGTGTGTGTCTGTGTGTTTGTCTGTCCGTTGTTTTGTAGTTGGTACCCTCTTCTTTAGCTAAAGGGGTTTCCCAAAAGGACTGCCACCATTCTGGTCTTTTCGTTGGTTTAAAGGGAAGCCAAGAAGGAATGCATAGCGAGGCCATTTCGGGTGTTCATTTCCTATATCTTGACACATCGGCGGTGGCGTCATTGCCAGGCTTCCTTCAAGAGGATGGACCCCGAAAAGCTGGCGACTCCGGCGACCAACCCTCGATGGCGCTTCAGACTGGGCAATGGCATGAAGCTCAGACAGCTCGGAGAGGTATCAATCCAAACAAGTGATATATGCATGCAACTTAATACACGTATATAGACCATTCGCGGATTGTTTGCATCTATCGTCGTCACGTAGAATGAATATGTTTCTCCCTCTCTCTCTCTCTCTCATACAGATATTATAGAATTGGTTGTCCCTAGTACAAACCCACTCAATTTTGTGATGTGCTTGCTCACATTGCTTCTGCAATGTCACTGAGCATGGACCTTCCAAAAGCACTGAGCATGAAATCATGTTTGCTTCTGCTTTTGACGTGCCATGGCCGTGTCGCGCAACTCGCAAAGTAAGAGCTGTCCGCATAAGCCGGACCAACTTTTTTGCTTGAATGTTAGTTCGGATGGTGTCTAGTGTGTGCCAGCATGTTTCGTGTCTCGCGGGCAACGCAGGAAGTACATCTGCGCCGTTTCAGCAACCGCAGGCAGTGTTCCAGAAACGTGGACGGCAGACCAGGAGTGGCTCTGGTATGTGCGTATTTGGAACTCGACAACCACAGGACCCTGTGCTGCACTGCCCTTGTTGAGAGCAATGCGACTTGCAGGCAGAGGCAGCTCATGCTTAGGAACTTGCGCAGAGAGCTGCCGATTCACACTTCAAGCGTTGGGTTGGCTTCTTTCTTGCGGTACTTTCTGAGCTATTTGCGGTGTGCTTACCTTTTAAGTGCTGTGCCTTTACAGGTTGGGCCCCTCCCCTTCTATTTTTTGTGTGTGCCGCTGATCCGAGGCAAGTTCCGGGACTACTCTGAGGAGAAGAGCCAGGAGGCGTTTTTCCGCTGGTGACTGCCGTGGCTTAATGGCTACGCCAAGGTTCAATATACAGTAACAAACGCTGTAAGATGCCTAATCCGGTTCCTTGGGTTGCGATGGTCATGGACCCATCCTAAGGCAGCGATCACGGCCACAGCTGGAGTGGTGCATGTAGCCAGGTGGAGGCACTCTACCAAGCTTGGTGCAAGAAGGGGAAGCCAACCAACAAGGAGGAGTGTCGGCAGGAGATCACCATCCAGGTGCTCTCAGAACGTAGCTTTGGCAGTCGTAGCAAATGTTTTGTTTCAAGAGGTAAGCAAGGAGGGACATTTTTGAGTGTCTTCAGCTCTTTTCAGGTGAGAGGTGCGGGCAGCTCAGATGGCGCAGGCACACTTTTGCAAGTCATAGAAATTCATTTGAGTCTCCAGAGGCCGAGCGGCCAAGGACTCATGTTTTTGCTGTCCCATGCCACCGAGGGTGCACCCTCCATGAAGACAGTAGGAGCTCGTCGAGAGCGCTGTCAGTGCGCAGGGAGTCGCATTGCGATTGCCGTGCGTGTGTCGTCAACATCTCATTCTCAACATGGGAAACCAATCACGAGTCAACATAGTTGTGCATATCAGAAACGGTCAGGTATGCAGAGAAGTGCTTTCGGAAGAATCCTGAGCACAGGCGGCGGAAAAGCAGGGCTTGCTCTTTCCCGCAGTTTCCTATCGGACAGGCGAGAGCTGAGCCACCCCGGTGACCCAGACTGGGATGCAGGGCGCCTACTGAGACATGTGTGGCAACCATGGGATGTCTCAAAATGTTCCCAAATATATCTCCTCTTTAGTTCCTTCCAAAACCAAAAGTGTTTTCCCCAAAGAAGAGACAACGCCATGGCCCAAACTGAGACTCACTGAGGAAAATCCAGCCAGGGACAGCGTCACGGACGCAGAGGCTGTCAGTGATGGCTTGGGGTTGCCGACTCGGCTGGTCACGTCTGTCAGGGCGTGCGGGACGAAAAGTATTCCTTGGATTTCCACTTGATGACTCAGGCACGTATCTTGTGAGCGAGACGGCGAATGCATGTTGTGGCAAGGGTTTAACTTTGCATGTCCTTCCGACCAAGCCGGTGGGATGATATGTATATATATACATATATACATATATATATATATATATATTTTTGCAGAACTGTTCTTGATGAAGGATTTCGCACACCCTGGAAGCTGGAAGCTGCTTGACCTCTTTTGGAGTGTGCACACTGCCGGCAAATCAATGCGTGGAGGTCAATCTCACCCGCGGAGGGCGCGGTAGGCGCAACATCAACCGTGCAGAGGCTCTGAAATACGTGGTAGTGTGGTGAGCAAATCTTGCCTGTAAAACAAGCAATCGGAGCCAAGTGCAATGTGCAGGGGATGACCTGGGCAGAAAAGATCACGCACGAGTATGTAAACAAGGCTGGTTAGATTTGAAGCTGTGCCAGGTGTGGTTTTCACTTGGTTTGCCCTGAAACCTCAGTGAAGGGGGTACCCTCAAAAAGAAGCCACCCTCGTATCCATCATACCTTTTCATCCACGCCCTTTCCATATTTGCTCGGTGCAGGTGACCGAATTCGTGAAGGATGCTGAGGATGTGTTGAGCAAGGCCCTTGCTGGCGCTAAGTGCGTCAGGTGTGGCTGATCAAAAAGCATGTTCCCGGATTTCCGAGCTTTACAGTTTTTTAAATAGCTTGTTGAGCCTCAGATTTGTGCACCCCCCCCCTCCAATTTGACAAACCCTCAACATTCGGCACTTGTTGCGTTTTTTTTGGTTCCCACTTTTGTGATATGGAGCCCTGGCCCTCAGTGGAAAGACTCCTTAAGGCGTGGCCAGCCAGGCCGAAGTCGAGCTGCACCTCCTGGGCGGGAGCCAACGCGCGACCATGCAGGAGAAGGCGCCCGTCTTCGGCGGTTTTTTTTTTGGGGCCAAACAAAAAGGCGGACGCACACAATGTCTGGAGGCTTGGAGCCGCAGGATGTGGCTCCCTGCCTCTGAAAATGGTACAATGGTAACGTATGGTAACTTACCACATTGTGGCATTGGTATGGTAACTTACCACATGGGAGCCTCTAAGTACCTTGCCGCATGGGCGCCTCTAAATGGTACCTTACCACATCCAGGTGTTGGTTGCGTTTGTGAAAGAGCCGCGATCGCGTCGCTGAAACGGCAAAGGCTTCGTATGTTCACAAAAAAGGCTGATGCGCCGCTCGTGCAAGACGTTCGAGAGGCTGATGCGCTGGTTCAAGCAATGCGTCCTTCACTGGTGGAGTGCGCCTGCTCAGGGCAGTGCGGGATATTTGAGCCATATTGTGTTACAGACAGGATGAATGGCCATGGTGTCGCTAAGTGGAGCAGCAACCATGATTCTGTTTGGTTTTTTTTACTTTGACATATCGATGTGTTACCTTATGTGTTTGTCCAGCAGCTGAAATATCGAAGGGGCTGTTTGTCAATATGGTCAGCTTCGCAAGTCCCAGCATTGAATTCCAGCCGCGGATTTTCATGTCAAATTCAGGGCTGCCAGCAGTCGGTTCATTTACTTTGCAGGTGCTGTACCTGCATGGCTTCTGCTCCTACACATCTCATGCCTCTTTTTTTTTCCGGGCCAGATTTCAAGCAATTCTGCCAAAGCACCCAACATGTGCATGACTTTCGATGTGCAGTACAGGAGGCAAACACACACACACACACACAGATTTTCGCGAACTTTTAGCTGGTGTGGTTTCTAGCTTCTTGAAATTGAAAAAAACTTGGCGGGAGTGAATCTTTGGCTCGCAACTTCATCCATCAACGGGGGCTCGCCCAGGTTCTTGCAGCTGGCGGTGGCTACAAATGACATGAAGGTGTGTCTCAGTGTGTTCATTTGATCCCTGCTGATCAAGGGCTTGACAAGAAACCTTTGGTGCATTTTGCTTGGATGTTAGGACTTTAACTTTTTGCCAATTAATGGGTTTTCCATTAAATCACCAAAAGTTAAACTTTTAGCAGGGGAGCAGAAAGCAACCGAGAAACCATTGCTTTGCACATGCACATAGTATGTCTGTGCATCAAAAATAGCTATGCTACACGATGGGGAGTCGTCACTGAGTCGCTGATCCCATCACAGGCCATCGAAGATATGATCGCTCTGCTCGGTGGCCATGCAGAGACCCTGCGGCTCAAGGATGCCATCAAGGACTGGAGGGTCATTCAGCTCGCTCACCCCGATGAAGGTCCCCAAGGGGCATGGTCATGTGCCCAGAGTAGTGCACCTGTGCGGAGCAGCTTCGCAGTGACACGAAAACACAGCCGAAGGGGAACCATGTTCTTGCTCCATTTTGCAGGAAGTGCGGCTTCGTGACGTGATGAGGGAGCTGCAGAAGGCACAGAGCTGACTTCCAGATGAGTACACAGGTCATGTTTCAGTTGCATATTCTCATCTGTAGGAATTCATCCATGGCATTACTTGTGAGTTTGACCTCGCAGGCATACGCGGTCACGCCCAGCAAGGCAACAGACGTTCACGGCCTGCCACCCAGATGCCTCCTGACGATTTTACACGGGCAAGGCATTGGCTCACAAAGGACTCTGCGTTTTGTTGCTTCTGTGAGCCACAGCCACTTCCCGGCGTTGCTGTGCGAGTCATCCAAATGGCTTGCACCTTGAGGTTGGGAACTCCTGCGGCTGCTGTGCAAGAAGCAAGAAGTTGGGCCCAGAGACTTGCTGAACTGCCGGCTGGGAGCTGAGACAGCTCTGTGCCTTGCGAGCGCAAAAGCAAGGCTGGCTGAACGAAAAGGCGTGCCGTGTTTTTGGGCCAAGGCTCGCGCGAATCAATGCCAAGCGAGACATGAACATCTTGACCAGACGGCGAGTGGGAATGAGATGTCAAGCTCTTCTCAGCGAGTATGAGCATGACAAGGAGCAGCGATCGATCCATCTGCATGTTACTCATGAGACTCGAACAGCTGAGGGTTTATGGGTCATGATGATTGCCGGCGGGAAAGGTGCAGAGGTGCTTGGTCTTGATGTGGGGTTGTGTGTTTTCAGCGCACCCCGTTTTAAAGGGACACCAAATGAAAGCCATCCATTCTGAGTTTTCTTTATTTTAACACATCCACGTGCAGGAGTTTTGCGCCAAGTTCCGCAGCGAAGCTTCAAAGGCGGATCTCTCTCTCTCTCTGCCTTGTGAGGCGTTGTCGCAAAGCTCGATGCGGCCAGGTCCTGCAGAAAGCACTTGCTGACGCAGCAGAGAACCTGCAGATCGAGGCCGCGCTTGTAGAGCCAAAGGATGGGCGTGGTCATGTGGCCCCGTCAGGTTGTACAGAGCACTCTTCGGGCTGCTGTGTCGTTCCTCCCTCAGGATGTCATGCCTGTGTGACATGCGTTGCTGACGTCTGGCTGATGTCTAGAAGTTATGATGCAGATATTGCGTCCAAGGTTCCAGTGTGACGTGGGACCTTTGCTAGCTCCTGCTGGTTGCAACCTTGGAGAATGGTTGCCTTCAGAAGTTCTGATTTGGTCCCTCCAAGAACCCAGTGGCATTTGGGTGTCCGCTAAGGCCATCTGGTGATGACGCTCTTGGATAGTGCGGTCCGGTCTGCGCGGCAACCGCTGGGCCGCGTCACCGAGGCCGGAGCAGCCGTCACATCGGATTTGCTCAGTGCAAAGGGCAGTGCCACAGGTGCTGGAAGGTGCCGAAGGCATAGCCAAAGCAGCTCAAAAGCCAGTGCCTCGAGGTGACGTTCAGAGCTGCAATGACCGTGTAGGCACGCTGACAAATGAAATGTGTGCCAAGGCCTTTGGAAACCTTCTGTGATGTGTCGCCATTGGTCAGGTGCTGCCGCCAGTGTTGTCAGTGATTGCATCGGTGAGTGTCGGTGGAACGTGACGTGAGCCGGTGTCCGGCTGATATTGTTTGTGGACAAGACCAGTCTGAGGAGCGCGTCACACACACACACACACACACACACACACACACACACACACACACACACGCACACCATTGCGCATGGTTTGGTTGTGATGTGAGTTCTCCCGCGCACGCGGCAGAGGCCTTTGGCGCAAAAGTGCTTTCAAGACATCATGGAGGGGAACAAGGCGGCTGACAGCAGAGGCATTGCCCAGTGAAGAAATCCAACAGATATGCACGTTTGCAAAGTCTTCTGAATCAAGGGTCAGGCGAATGGCTTCTGAACCAACACGAAGCGGTTCTTCCCGCAGGAATTTTGAGTTCGAGAGTGTGTTCGATCCCTGCATGCATGCTTCGGCGTCGGAGGTTTATTAGAAACGTGACAGCTGTGGCTGCAGGTGTTGGTGGAGGCGTACAGGCTGCTCATGTCCTAGTCGGCATATGTCAAAGTAGACGGACCTCAAAATGGCAGTTTTTCCCTTGGTTCCCTTTGCACCATCCCCAAAACTGTACCAAGAAACACCCCAAGCGTCACAAGAGTCACATTTGGAGGCCGGTAGTGGCACACTGCCGAGCTTGGTGAAGAAGGCGCGACTTGTTTTTGTCTCCTTGAAGCGGAAGTTTTTTTGGTGTCAGGTGGTGGACGTGCGTGTGAAGCTCAAAAGGCCGGACCTGGCGGCAGGCCAGAGCCGAAGGGGTGCAAAGGATGCAGGGCCAGGTAGAAAACCAGCAGCAGATTTTCCGAGGATGCCCTTGTCGTTTTGCTTGCATTTGAGGAACCTTTTTTTGCCAGTGATTCCCCACCAAAGTTTGTCGTACAGCAACTCCACATGCAAAGTTGCGAATGAAGGACAGCTGTTAGCCCCGCAGGCTTCGATGATGTTCTTTGGTCTAGCTTCCAGCCATGGTGCGCCTGCCGGAGACGTTTGTTGAACCTGTCCCGAGTCTGGTGCAGATTCCCACACACAGGTACAAAGATCTGCAGGCAGGAAGCAGCGATGCACAAACAGCAGCTGCTGAATTCGTGGCGTGCTGAGCTGGACGACTGATTTTTCTCTCAACCAGCTGGGACAACGATCAACATTCGCCGTCATTTAGTTGCTTATGTGCACTGCTGTGTTTTCATGACCACTCCTGAAAGTGGGATAGCCTTAGGATAGCCTTAGCTCACGCTGAGGCCATCGCATATTGCGAGCAGCTGAAACTAGCGCTGCCAAAGTGGCTTTTGGACAAAGACCAGGTGGCTTGTGCGATCTTGCGTTGCTTTGACTGCTTGCTTTGATTTGTTGTTTGTGACCCCAAGCGAGGGAGATGTGCTCTTGGGTTTGTCTCAAAATCGCGGAACGCAAAAAGGGGCTTGGTTCTGTCGGGCCTCCACCTCAAACAACCCAAAAAGGGTATCCTTGAGAAGGATACCCCCCCCCCCCCATATGGCAGTTGAGCATTGACTGTGGCGAGTGCCGGTTTTCTTTTGCAGGTTGAGGCCTTGCGCAAGCTGGAAGCAGCGGTTGCAAGTGGTGATGAGAGGGCTTTGAGGGAGGCCAGCGATGCGTTGACAGTTTGCCCCGCATGTTCTATAGACCCGCTGATTGAATGCGGTTGCTGCACTAGTGTGTCTTGCGTACAATTGTCCTGGTGCCCACTTAAAGAAGGACTGCAATGTTACTGAATGTGTACTTTGCGTTTTGCGCGTGCTTGTACTGAGAAGTTCCACTGCACTGAACAAGTTGCAATTACAGACATGTTGCGATTTTGCGAGCTTAAGCCTCGCAATATGGGCGAGTATTTTTGGTGACACCTTTTTTGGTTGGTTTTTGAAGCAAAGCCAAAAGGAACCCACCATTTTGCGAGTGCCCTAAGTTTGACACAAACCCAATGGAGCAAACTAATGAAACCACAAGGAGAGGCATGAAAACTCCGGAAAGGGAGCAGCAGTAACTTATACTGTAGCGGCTATACTGATACAGCCTCACATGTTGCCTTGCCTTGGAGCAGGCTGTCGTGTTTGCAAAGCAAACCGACTACAAAGCAGACCCGGCTCTCTCTGACAAGTGCGCCTGCGTCACAAGGCATGGCATGGTCACTGCCCTCCCGTGAGGTATGACCAAGCGCTGAGGAAGCTGACGGCGCTGAAGCGGTTGCCTTCTGGTTGGGATGTGACGGAAATCGTGCCTTCCTGAGAAACAAACCTGACTGAGGGCCAGCTACAGCAATATGTTTCAGGAGTCAGCAGCACACTTGTTTGGCTTGTTGATTTCTTCCACCCTGAAGTGTCCGCCTCCAAGTCGCGTGAACTTGGTCACAGGTTCCAGACGATGCCTCGAAGAAGATGTTCAAGAAGGCCGTGCCTTCCTTGAAGTGGACAAGGAGTGGGTTGACGTCCAGGCTGACTTGGACGACCCCAAGCTGAAGCAGCTGTTCCAGAAGCTCTTCGACGACACCAAGGCCTGGGATTTTGGAAAGATCTGAATGCTTTGGACCTCCGAACGCTCTCAGTTTCTATGTAAAATTCCTTCAGGTGCCTTGGTTATCCTGACTTCTACCGAGTTTTTGCGTAAACTGCCTTCGGGTGCCTTTGTTGTCCTTTGCTGAGGCGAGTATTGTGACGCGTGATCGGGCTGCTCGTGGCAGCGGCGATGTCCGGCGCTCACAAGCCGAGGTGACCCCAAAATGCGTGCCATGGTACCATGACCCACATACGGAGTTTTGACCATCTCACGCCTGTCTCTTTGCCAATCAGATGCCTCGTGGATATCGTGTCCAGAAGATCATTTCGGCGTGCGCCTCAATCTGGGGTTGCTCTTGTGCTCTCATTGAGTGAGCCTGTTCAGCTTCAAGGCTCGGAAGCTTGAGGGACAGACTTGCAAATCTGACATCCTCTTCACTGGCAGTCCTGAGGTCATGAACGCGGAGTCCTGGCAGTCCTACCAGGAGCGCCTTGATGGGATCGTGGAGGATTGCAAGTGCTGCTCTTATCCTTTCTGCTGGGCTGGCACTCGGGTGATGGGCGCGAGTGTGCGTGAGCATGCAGCGGTTGGGCGCGACCCGTCTGGCTGTTCTTCAAGGCGGTACAAAGGGAGCGCTCCGATGACAGACTCTGCCGGGCGCCTAACGGCGCTCAGATTGTATGGCCGAGAGAGCAGCACCTGTTCGACAGGCGTGGGAAGAGTGGAGCGGCAAAGTGCATTCAGCTCCTCACGGAAATGTTTGGACCCTAGGTCTGAAGTAGCAGGCTCTCGCATTGCCTAGTCTTTAAGTTAAGCAACACTTTGCAGTGAGCAGTGCGGATGGACGACTAAGGCTATCCTCGAAGGCGCCCATTTGCCGTCTCTGAACGCTGGGGCCAACGAGTTCCTGATGTTCCATGGTACCAAGCCAGAGGCCCTCGAGCACTTCCAGTTACTTACGATGGCAGCTTGAGCTTGCTGCCTGGCAGGCGGCCGATCTTATAGCAATGAACCATTTTGACATGCTGAGACCTCAGTCGCTAGTTGCTCTGACTGTTTGCCCGAATGCATTGCAAGACCTCAGGGCTTTTGCATGCAAGACGGGCCTCTTTGGCGCTGGCCTCTACTTTGCGGAGAACTCCTCCAAAAGTGACGAGTGACCCATGCCACAGTCGTGTGCAAGGCGGTACATGCAAGATTCCCTAAGGCACTCGGTAACAAGGCAAGCTGAGGTGAGTTGCTGGGATGTGGCTGTGGGCAAAACCAATGGTACCATTTTGGCGTAGGTGAATTCATTATTCAATATGGAACCTATTTTAGTGGGGACTGGGATGTTCACTGGGGGTATGGGATTTTGACCCATGGCCATGTATGGAACAGATCTCCGACTTGCATTGGCTCCTTGTTTTCAGCTTCCAGCACTATGGGAGCGGGCAGCAAACAGTACACGGGACTTCAACCACGACAGCTGCGAAGCACAACCGCCATGGCCCATGAACATGTTTCCTCCATTTCGACGCAAGTCGCATAAGAGCGTGTGCATGTGAGCGCTGCGCGGCCTGCGCGCAGCAGGCCGGACCGTTTGCTTTCCTCCGTGCCGAATCCGTTGGCTGATTGACAGGGTGCTTTCTCGACATGGGCGCGGGGCAGTCGGCGAATGGCGAAGCGATTTCCAGGACGAAATGGGTGTGGGTAAAAAATAGGTACCCAAAATGGAACCCTGGTAAATGGAAAGAAGACCTAAAACCTGCGGTCCCCCACTGGTTTAATTTTGACCCATACCCAAATGTAAAAAGCAAACATGTTGCCTGCCAGCGGCACGGTTATGCACAGCGTTTCTCATCAAACAACCCGGGATCTGCTGCGCAGGCCGAGCTCTGGCAGGATACCCATGATAAGAGCTGATGCTTTGTCCTCAGTCACGGTACATTGTGCGGGAAGGAGCCTGCAAGTCGCTTCCCGACATTATCGAACACTATGCCAATATTTGGCGTTGCAAAGCTGAGGTTCAGCTGATTGCAGCAAGCCAAGCATTCATGGAGATCAGCCAATCAGTAGTGCGACATGTTGTCAATGGCGAGGTCTATGATCTTGATGGCTCTGCGGAAGTTTTCGTGCTGAACCAAATGCCCTGAGCATAGATAGACTGAGACTAGCACCTGTCAAGCTAGACTGTGAAGTAGCAGACCATGCTTGTGAGTGTATGCTACGTACCAGGGAACCAAAAGAAAAACACCCATTTTGGGAGTTCTCTATTTTGACATATTATATCCATATGCACGCTGGGGACACCTCGGAACAAGTGCTGGCAGCAAACCAAGGCTGCGACCCCTTGGTACCGGCGTCTTCCACTGCGGTGTGCAGGCACGTGCTTGGCAGCCCCTCTGCTAGAATCAAAACCAGTGTACGCGAAGATTGGTAGGGACAAATCCCAACCAGACAAAAAGGTGCGCTTGATCCCTGTGACTCGTTTTTAGTTTTGGGAAGGCCATTTTAATACCAGGTGTTGATAGTGGCTCACATGAGTACCTGTTAACGACGCACTGGGTAGCTCCATGGGCACCCCAGAGGGTTTGCAAAAACCACCACGAGGAATCCCAGTTGCGCGCGAAAGCCAGGTTCTGAACCAGGAGTGGAGCTTTCGCGGGAGCCGCTGCGAAGGCACTGGCGTCTTCTGCTGCCAGCTGGGATCCTCAGCTTGAGGCGTTGCTTACCACAGGCCAAAATTGCTCTTGGCCATCGGAGTCTCCCTGTGTGTTGTGTGTGTGTGTGTTTTGAGGGTATCTTACCCGCCTTACCCTTTGAGGTTGGTTTAAAGGGAAACTCAAAGGGAAACCACGATTGTTTGGGGCCCCAGATTTAGATACCCATGTCAGTATCTTCATGCTCACGCTTTGCATGCTACCCGAAACTAAAAAGAGAGGGATGTGGCAAAGGCAAGAGATGCAAGGAAGGGCGACGAGGGGAAACAAGGGCAAAAAGGCGACAGAGGCTCGAGGGCGAAAGTGGGGAAAAGCAAATTGAGACGTGTTGGAGATTGGCGGGGCAAGCAAAAAGGACAGAAGGCGCCAGGTATGAGTCACTGCAGCAAAGTTTTTTCAAGATAGGGGAATCCTCAAAATGGTCGGTTTCCTATTGGTACCCTTTTTGGTTCCACCAGAACGGGGGTACCATGCAAATGCAGACTAAAATGAACATTCCCCACAAAGTCTAGGGGCCCGCCCAATTTTCCCATATCCCCTTGGTGAAGCCTTCTCTAAAGTAACCCCGCCAAGGGGTCTGAGCCTCAAAAAACCCAGTTTCAGGTTGGCTCAAGGAAGCCACAGGAAATACTTTTGGGTGTCTATCTCCAAATTTTGACACACACACACACACACGCACACACAGCCCATCCTTTTGGTTTCCCTTCAAAGCAGCCCTTCTTTCGGCATTAAGAAGAAGAAGAAGAAAAAACGAGGCTTTCCAAGAAGGACCCACCCTTTTCGGCGCCAAGTTGAGATCCGCCTCTCAGCCTCTTTGGTACCCGCCCGGAACGAGCGACGCAGCGACGCCTTCGCAGGCCCCGGACCTGCGCCAACCTGACGCCCCGGGAGGTGGTGCCGCTGGGCTCGGTGCTGCTGCCCGAGGGCCAGGCGGAGAGCCACCCACGTCTTTGTTTTTTCGTCTTCGGACGAGGTGGTTGGCCAAGTGGTGCCCTTTTTCGGCTGCGAAGCAGGTTTTTAGAGGGCAGACACTTATATGAATTTGTAGGCTTTCCTTGCTTTTCATTTTTTTAAAAGGGGGCGGGGAACCAGAGCTGTCCTGTTTGGGCACAACATGGCCCTTGGAAAGCCCACGGTTGGTCTTTTGGTTTGGGTGTGCGGGTTTTCCAATCCCAGGTTGGGTGAAGTTTACACAACCGGAGCCACTCCTTCAAAGGATGTTCAAACAATGGGTGTTTGACATGTTTAAACAGCAGGGTTAGCCCAATGCAAAAGGCTCGCCACTCATGCTTCATTTGCAAGGGACTTGTTAATCATCAGTCCCTCGAGGCCGAGAGTGCACAGGTGGAGGTATTTCTGGTCAAAGGCTACAGTTCTTCTAGCCACAGACTGGACTGGTTCGTGTATTGCCGTAGAATCATATGTCTTGTTCTAGTCGAAGGCAGGAGCAAGCTTCGGGGTGTTGAGCCACGAAAGACTTTGCTCCTGCAGTCACTGGGCAGGAAGGGGCAGACGCAAATAGATGAGACATTCGGACCAAGACATGGCTCTCCCGATTTTTTTTGAGAGTCAGCATCTACTCGCATCTGTTGTTGCTGACAACCAACACACCAACACAGCATTCACAGTTTCTTTTGAATGGGTGATGACACCTACAGAAGATTTTGACCATGTCAATCAGCCATTGCGACCTTGCGGTGATGTCTTCATGCCAAGATAGAAGCCGGGCTAGGCTGCTATGCTCCTGGCTGGATGTATGCCATGTGTATATGTCTCTTGGGTAGGTGGAGACAATCCTGGAGCAGATGAAGCACGAGTGGTGTCACACTTATTGTGGAAACTATTTGCAGGTACTCTCGTTCCAACAGCCACGGAAGCTGAATTTCAGGGTCCTGGAAGCTGAATTTCAGGGTCCTTGTGAAAAGATCTCATGCCCACTTCCACGATCGTTGGAGAGAGTATGTCCGTCTTTGCCCCGAACGAAATGTGTCGTTCGAGCTCAGGCCTGGTCGAGGCTACAATGTGCTGCGGTGCAGGCCTGAGGCGCAAGTTCGAAGCGTAGCGCCTCAGAAGATGCTTGATGTAGCGTGGGTACAGCCAAGCACTTAGCTGTGGGTCAAAACCAATGGTACCATTTTGGGGTAGGTGCACCACCCATTTTAGTACCTATTTTAGTGGGGAATGGGGGCACGGGGTTTTGACCCATGGCCACCTAGGCGCAACTGCGGACATTTCTGCAAGGAGTTCAGCCAGCGATTGGGGGTCACTGCCTCGGAATCTGGTTTTGCTCGTGCCGTGCGCCTCAACATCCCGAACTGAGGTCGGACCGCTACCAATTTGGGTGCCATGCTTAGCAGCTCTGGTTGCGCAATCCTCTCGTTGCTCCATCTTCAAGTGCCAAGGTGACCAATCTGGCCAGCACGGGCGCAGACTTAGCCACGATTCCGGATCAGGCAGACAGCCTACTGGAAGCGACATGCTCTGCGCGTGTGGCAGGTTAACTTGTTTTGCACGCCCCAACCCTGAAGATTGCCAGATTCTAGCACCGGTATGAGCCGCTCTCACTAGCCAAGAGTCCCTTGCGATTTGCATGGCCTGGAGCCTGTGTCAAAATGAACCCCCCAAAATGATTGATTTCCTTTTCGTCCCCTTTAAAATCATCTCAAAAAGGGCACAATCAGAAAAGCACACACACACACACACACCCACGTATCAAAGTATATGTGTGTGTGTGTGTGTGTGTGTGTGTGTGTGTGTGTGTGCACCGCACCTGAACAGAATAGCTGTGACACGCTCGCAGGTCAAGTCGCTCTGGTCCGGCCTCGTCGACCAACTCCCCGATTTCACTGACACCAGCGAGGCGTGCTCGTCGCTGCATGTGCGGTGCGCGCGAGCCGCCAAACTGATTGCGGCTGGCCTGCTGGATTCGCTTTAGCAAGTTGGGGCTTCCACACCTTGCCTAGAGCTTCCAGGGTTTCTTGCTACGAGGGTGGAGCATGGCGCCTTGTTTGTTTTGGTGCGGAGATTTGGCTGTGGGTCAAAAATGGGTACCCAAAATGGAATCCTGGTAAATGGAAACATGGACTAAAACCTGCGATCGGTGGTTTAATTTTGACCCATACCCATTTGCAGGACGTGGAGAATCTGAATCCGGGCTCGCAGCCTCTTCCTCCACGAGTGCTTGTGTCGCGATCTGTACCGCTGGCGCGAGCCGTGGCGCGAAGCCTGGGGCACAGCTGTCCGGAAGGCCCCTTGCAGTGAACGCTTTAGTTGGTCCTCAAAATAGCTTTCGGGGGTGGTTTCCTTGAAGCCAGTATCTGGAGGATGTGGGTTCAATGGAGCCAGGTGGACAAGGCTTGCAGCGAAGGCGATATCACAATCACTGAACAAGCAGCCATTCTTTCCTCAGGTGCAACCGCTCCGACCCTGCTGACGACCCGCACTGTACAGGAGCTGCGTGGGACTCGACAGCGCGGCGAGAGATCTTGAGCCAGGAACCCAGCTGCGTGCGGATGCAGGGCACCCGCGGAGTCAGCCAGTGGCGGCTGTGGCATGTTGCTCGATGGGTACAAGATCGACTGGCCGCTGTGTGGGTATGTCTTTTTGCTAGGCTACGCTTTTAAGGCTTGGCTTTAAGGGAAAGATTGGGAACCACTCTTCTTGGAGCCTGTTCGTTAGAGAGACACCCGAGTCTGCTGAGCTTGTGACCTGCTCGGCCAGGCAAGGCTTTGACGCCGAGGAGGAGGTGGTCACATGGATGCAAGGGATCAGAGCTGTGAGAAGCTGATGCGGGCAAGTGAAGGTTAGTAAGGGATAGTCACGAAAGCTAGCTTTGGCTAGCTGAAGATTCTCCTTGCGTAAGCAAGGTAAGGGGCTCAATTGCCGAAAGATTGATTTTTTCAATTATTTGAGCTGAAAAGATTGAAAAAAATCAATTATTTAGACCCCCCCCCCCTCCCCCCCCCCGTCTCAGGCTCGATTCCTCCTTGGTCCACCCCTCCCCCCGGGCAGTGGCTCAGTGTTTCAGCAGTCTCGGTTTGCCCGTTTTGGACTTGGTGTTATGCACTTTTACATGTTCCGCCGATTCAGCTTGTTCATTTGAGGCCTCAAGTCTTCTCAGTAAACCACCTCGCAAGAATCTTTGCACACGCAGCATGCAGAACCCAGAGGTGCTTTAAGACAGCTTCTGACGCCTCTCGTTGTTTTCATTTTTCAAGGTTTGCCACGCTACCATGTGCGTTTGCGGTTCGCATCCTACGAATCTTGCCGGGCCTCTCGTTGTACACCTCTGAATCCACCCTGTCACCGACCCATCTCATGCAACAACTGCTAGCTTTCGTTCACCCGCTCCTCAAGTTTTTCAACCAGAGTCAGGTGCGGATATCCACTTTTCCTTTTGTACATGCTTTTGGCATACCACTTTGATGCCATGTTTGGATCGCCACACGCTTCCACCACAGTCTTTTTGGGATTCTTTGGCGTGACGAGCCAAGGTTCAGTGCTGCTTCTAGACGCATTGGGCAGGTCAAGGGGTCTATTGGCAGCAAAGCATGTGTATGTTTTGAAGGAGAGCCCTGTCTTGTTGGGCTCAAATCTTTTCTGAGTTCTGAGACTCCGCTCACAAGGACGGGTCTGAATTCAACAAATGCATGGCCCGTGAGTTCCAATCTTGCCAGTTCGCGCGTTGCGTGTTCGTGGCCGCCGAAGGTGGCAAGTTTTTGCGACGCTTTTGAACTATGTCAAGAAATGCGCATAAGTCGTGTGCATGGACTCACTGACCCAAGGTCACGGGCATATGTGCGCATCCGGAATGCTTTGCATTTGGGTCGATGTGGGCACCTCCGGAGCCATTCGTAGTGAGTCTTTCGAGTTGGAGGGCCCAGCAGCTCCCAAGTGCCTCCGACTCGGCCTCGCGCCGCGCGCTCTCGTTTCAAGCTCGAGCCACAAGAGCATGGGACCTTCACAGCTCCATTGGGCACACGGGGGTGGCACAGAGTGGGAGCCCAGCGAGAAAACAAGGCGAGATGTCGCCCTGTAGGTTGGATGGGCTTACACTAATGTTACCCCGGATTAATAAACCCCTGGGGTGTCCCCTTTTGGAGGGAACGAGCCCCCAATAATGGGACGGGTTTTTTCATCCTGGGTCAACAGTACTTTCTTTCGGCTCAATCTTGTGCACGCATATGGAAGCCGACCAGGTACGTGAAAGGAGATGCCAAGGGATGGTACCCGATGATCCTTTGCCGAGTTGCACTGGGGCGGGTCCACTACTGTGCCAGCTCGGACCCGCAGCGGTCTCTGGATTCTTGCATGGATGTCAGTCGACTCTGCATCCAACAGCACATTCTTGTGTACCACTTGTTATTCCAACCGACGGCGCCAAGAAGAGGCTTTCTCAAAGTTTCTGGATGAAGCATGGATATGGGTGTGGGTCTAAATCTGGAAGCCCCAACATGGACCGAGCCTGAGCAAGCAGAAGGAGAACTCTTGAAGGGAAAACCATACCCCACCTGGGTATGGGTCAAAAAAGTTAAACCACCAGGGACCGCAGGGTTTAGTCCATTTTTCCATTTGTCAGGCTTTCATTTTGGGTGCCGTTTTTTGACCCACAGCCACCTTTTCGGGATCCTATTTTGAGAGAGACCCATCTCGATCCTCCGATCGATTTTCGAGCAGGACCCCACCACGGATCCTGGGCGCGACAAGCTGGAAGCCTCCTGCACCAGCGGCCCGTACCACCGGCGTCGCTTCGGGGTTGAACGTGTGTGCGAGTGTGTGTCTTTTTTGAGGCTCCCAAACCACCAATCCAAGCGAATCCGAGGGAAGCTGAAATGGGGAGCCCCGCTTACCACCAAAATCAAAGAGGCTACGAAGCGGCTGCACGAAGCCAGGTACCATTGTGTTCTTGGAGACAGACTAAAGGCGAGAGGCACTTACCGCGAGTATGTGCGGATCCTATGCATGGCATTGAGCAATCTGCATGAAGATGCTATGAGGTGGTGTATGATCACTTCCAGGCTGGTCTGATACTGCGAACGAGCTCTTGTGTTCAGACAATTTTGACAGACATGAGCCCGCCATGTTTGCTGTTCAAGCTACAGCAATTGCAGTGCGCACAGGTGTATCCACAGTTCATCGTGTGGTATACCCGCACATAGACTGCGCGGCACAGATTGTCTCACCAGTCAATATGTTGTGCAAGCAGTCATCGCAAAGTGGGTCAGCACCTGCCACTTTGATAAAGGCAAACCATGATTTGCTCATAGTCATTGGCTACATTCACGGTGCATTGAACAAGTCTTTTGTGCGCCCTTTTTTGAACCCGCACGCGATTTGCACAGCATAGCGGCAAAGGGATACTAGTGTCTGCACCACGACGTGGTCGGCCCTGTGTTGCAAGAGTGGCGGAACGCCATCTCTGCTAGCTGCCAGGCCACTACCAGAAAAAGGTGCTCTCTTTCTTTAGTTGCCTTTTTTACTGTTGGCCGAGAAGGTGGTCTGGTTTTGGTTGCGTGTATCTCTGTGAACCACATGGTTCGGCTTAGATTCCATTCTGCCAGCACAGTACAACCGTTGCAGCGCCCACCTGCAGGAGCAGGAGCAAACCATGAAGCGCATGGTGGAAGAGCGCGTGCAACAGGCTGCTTGGTGGCATTGAACATTGAATCATTGCTTTGCAGCAACAATGCCTCATATAACATTCTTCCACTTCGTACACGCAGCAGGAACTGGGACCTTGTGCTTGCAAGCTGTCGCACAGCAATATGCATGGTATAGCCAGCCGTTGAGCTAGTTGAGCCAGCTGGCAGCAGTTGAGGAACGACGCTTTTCAACCAGTTAGGCTAAGGTAGCTAGAAGTTGTAATTCTCGTGCTACATACGTGCAAGGCAACTTGGGAGCCATGCTTCTATGATTCTACGATTTGTCCTTTGCCAACCCAATGCATCTTTGTAGAACCGTTGCATGAGGAGCTGGATGCCATCCTGCAGTCTGAGATGCTCAAGGCCGGGAGTCAAGCGTGGCGCAGTGCGTCACTCACTCTTGCGGACATAAAGAAAACAGGTTTAAAGATCCGCTGACTATGGCTGGGGAAGCCCAAAAGGGTACCCTTCTTCAGATTGGTTCCAAGAAAACGCAACAGGAAGCCAATCATTGGCTCCATTTCCCTAGTTTGACGCATGCCCTTTCAAAGTTTCCCTTTGAAACCAACCAACGCTGGCTTGAGCGAATGACCTGGAACCGAACCTTTCATCTGGTGGCTTCCTTTTTATGGAGATCTGAATCGATCATTCTCAAGACCCTCAAACATGGTGGTTTTCGTTTTGGTGTCCCTTCAAAGCAATGTGAAACGGCCTCAATAATACACAGACACCCATATGAGCCACGGCCAAAATTACCCGTTGCCCAGAAGGACATGGGGAATTTCGTGTACCTCCCAATGAACCATATTTCTGGTAGTTTTGACCTAAGCCTTGGCAGGTGCACGCCATGGTGGAGCAAAAGGTCCGCGAGCGCGTCCGCGGCTCAATGCGAATCTGCGAGCCCCGCCCGGCAAACTGTCCGGCGGTGGTAGGTGAGTGCTATCTTCCGACGGGAAGTTCAAAGCACTGTTCAACAGCTGCAGGCGCCATCTTTTCATTTCGTTCGGTCGTTGGCTGGTTGGTTGGTCAGTTGGTTGGTGGTTGATTGTTTGGTTGCTTGGTTGGTTCGTTTGTTTGCTTGCTTGCTTCCTTCTTTCCTTGCTTACTTCTTTCCTTGCTTCCTTGCTTCCTTGCTTCCTTGCTTCCTTGCTTCCTTGCTTCCTTGCTTCCTTGCTTCCTTGCTTCCTTGCTTCCTTGCTTCCTTGCTTCCTTGCTTCCTTGCTTCCTTGCTTCCTTGCTTCCTTGCTTCCTTGCTTCCTTGCTTGCTTGCTTGCTTGCTTGCTTGCTTGCTTCCTTGCTTGCTTGCTTGCTTGCTTGCTTGCTTGCTTGCTTGCTTGCTTGCTTGCTTGCTTGGTTGCTTTGTTTGTTCGTTTGTTTGTTTGCTTGTTTCTTTGTTTGCTTGGTTGGTTGGTTGTTTGTTCCGTATTTGTTTGTTTGCTTGCTTGCTTGCTTGTTTGTCTGTTCCTTTTGTGTGTTTCTTATCCAAGATAGTTCTTACTTCAGCGTCGCAGTCCCTGCAGTTGCAGAAGCACCTGTGCATGGCAGGCAAAGCTTGAAGATCTAGCGAGGGAAAACGCCGTGTTGCGGGACGCCTTTGCCGAGGTGCACGGGATAAGCTTGCTGCCGTGGATTTCGATAATTTTATTGCATGGTTGGCGTGGCATGACATTGAATACATGAAACTTGTCTGCAACCTGCATAATTTATTGGGCTGTGCAGGTGATGCTGGGAGGGCGTAGGGGCCATTCCAAAGCCAGGTGCATAAACGCCTTCGGACAATTTTGAACAGGATTGCTTTTTTGTATGCTGAAAGGTGTAGCGGGATGTGCCTCCAACTCTGGAATGCTCCTCCACGGAGAAGTGTGATTGTGAACTTGCCTTCTCAAAGTGGCTGCGGACAGGAACATCAAGTCATTCCAAAAAGGTGTTTTTGTTTTGCGCCGGGGGAACATACTAGGGTTTGCCTGACAACTGCCATCTATACGCAGCCATGGCCCTTCTTGATTTCTCGTAGTCTCCGCCCTTCATCGTGTTACTTTGAAACCGAATTGGATTAGTTGATGCGTTGACTTCATTTCAGATGCCACGTATGCACTGAACGGAGTCTGGGCGTGCCAGGCGAACCTGCGCTCGAAGTGCTTCTTCTGGGCTTTGAACCCGGCGCCGCTGCAGGTTGGGACGCTGTTGCCTTTGCGTGTGTCGCGTCACGCGTCGGATCCCGCAGACCACGGTGGCACTCAGCTGCGGGCTGGCTCCACATGTGCCCTGGCAGAAGGGAAGCGTGGGGCAACTTGCTTGGTGTCGCAATTGGGCCACTAGGAAGCGCAGCGGTTTTCTCTCTCTTCTCTCTCTTCTCTCTCTCTCCCTTTCCATTTCCCTATCCCTTTGCCCTTGCCTTTCCCTTTCCAATTCTCTTGCTCTTGCTCTCTTTGTTTCTTTCCACAATTCAGATGTTCAGGGCGAACGAGTCGGCAGCATGCCAGTTGGTAGGGGTTGAGGGTTCAGGATCATGTTGCCAACAAAGTAGACTTACTTGGCCTCAAGATCTGTCAAGAGGTCTGGTAGACCAGGAGGGCTTTCTGTTGCTGCTGCGTCTTTTGGGTTGAAAGGGACCTTTCGTACCCGGCTTGAGGATAGGTTTCAGCCGCAAGCTGTTGCGCTGTCTCGTGCGCCTCCGAGGTTGTATTCTCTCTGAAGTTGCGGACGTCAATAGCCGCAACCTTTCCTGACATTCCTGAAGGCTTCGAAGTGTGAGCCAAAAAGTAGAGCGATGAAGGATTCAGGAAACGCATACTTCAGGAAGAGAGGCGAAATGAGGAAACGGAAGAATCTTGCAGGAACTAGTTGCTGGGGTCGGTGGGTGGGATGGTCGGCTTGTTCGGAACTGGGTCGGGATGGAGGGACGGGCGGGACGGTTGGAATGGTCGATGGAATGATCGGAGCCGTTGAAGTGGTCAAAGGCGTATTTGGGCGGGGTGTTCAAAATGATGGGAAGGTCGGGACGATCGGACTGGTAGGCTGGGAGGATGGGTGGATTCACACGGTCTGGACGTATGGGTGAAAATCAGAAACAGTATGGGTTTCTAGAGCTTATTAGGCTTGAGTATTAGATTGGCAAGTTTCGGGCAGTGAAGGGGAGATGGTTGGAGATCGTGTATTGTTGGTGCACCGTTGCTGGATTTGGTTTAGGATTGGCTTTGGGGTCTAGGGCTGGATTAGGGTGGGTTTTGGATTCGTGGGGTGGATTGAGGGCTCGTTTAGGGTTAGGTTGAGGCTTGTTTGGGGTTGGTAGTTCAAAGTTGACTGCGGGTAGGTGTGGCGCGGGGTTAGGCTGGTGTTGGGGTGGTTCTAGGGTTGTTGTTTAGGATGAATTCAGCGGAGGTGTAGTGTTCGGTTTAGCCGTTGTTCGGGGCATGCCCAGTCTTGGTTTCGGGTTGGTTTGGCTTGGACATGGCTCAGCGTTGGTTTGGGGCTGTTTAGGCTTGTTATAGTCAGTAGAGTGGGAACAGGCTGCCCGCAGTCATGACGGTGAGGATAGTCTAGACTGGAAGGTGGCTTATATGGTGAATGGTTGCGGTTGTTGAAAGTGAACCTAGGTCACGCATTCAAAACAGTTGGAGTGGTCCGGGACGGTGGACGGTCGAGTCAGCCGGAATGGCTGAGATTTCTTCGGCGGGATGATTGGGGGTTGTGGATGATTGGGACTGTTGGGACGGTTGGGACGGTCTGGATCATGAAATATGGGCACTCGGAGCGCCGAAAGGCCGGCCTGCTTTCTTCTCGGTGGCCGCGTTCAAAACGGCCGAGGTTACCCGTTTCGCAAATGGCAACAGAACGAGTCAATGCGTGGGACAGTTTGTGGGCAGCAGAGAAACGGATTGGCTTTTTGTTTCTCTCAAGTCCTGACAGCTACATCTATGAACAGCATGTCTCATGAGAGCTACGCAGCAGGCCGTTGACGGCATGGACACTAGCAAACAGCTCAAGACTTTCTCATCATCTTCTTTCGAGGAATTCGACTCCTTGGGCTCCTAGCTTCTCGGCCTGAGCCATGGAGGAGCTCGAGCGCGAGCGCGTGCGAAGCCCACGGGGGCCAAAGAAGGCCGACCTCATGGAGCTACCTACCGTGAGCCTTGTGGTTCTGGCGACCCTGGCCTCTGTCTTCGCCCTTGGTTGCTTATCTGTCAGGGTCCTGGGGACGCTTTTGGACCTTGATGCGACTTCATCTTGTCTTTGATTTGGCCAGAACAAACCAGGGTGTTTAGAAGGGTCCAACCCCCATTTGGACCTGGGATGGGAATTTCCACAATGGCCAAAAAGTGCCCAGCCCTCGAGATAGTTGGCCAATTGGGACCGGCTACTGCGCAAAATACCATTCAGAAATGGGGGTTCTTCATGGTCGCTCGCCAAATTTCCACATCAAGGGACACAATGACCGCTCTAAGGTTGGCTGCAGAGCGTCTTGGTGCCCCTAACTTTGGCGATCGGCTTTGCGCAGCTCTTTCAGCCTGTGGTGTGCTTGCTTTCCCGCCTGCCCAGCAACCTCGTCAAGTTCTTTGCTAGGCCCGGGTCCGTTTTCCTAAGACATCCTTAAGGGAAGCCAACTACCCCCCCAAAGAAATGAGACCCACTCAACATTTTCAATTGGCCAGCTTCAGCCGAAAGAGATGATTTCGGGCAATCGCGATGTCCTTGCTTCAGCTGGCTGCTTGGGCTGCTATTTGCATTTTTGTTTACTTTGTTTACTGTCCAGTGACTGTTGTGTCACGACGGTCTAAACAATCTTCTGGGAGTCTGTCATTTGTTTGACTTGACTTGTTTGGTGGGCTTGCATGGTTCAATGATCCGCTCCAGCTTTCACGAAATCTGCTGGCCTACGACACAAGGAAGTGGTGTGCAATGCTTTGAAAGACCTTAAGAAAGTCACGATTGGGCAGATTTGGATTATCATGCTTCTCCCACAATACTTGCAACACGGGGTCAAACAGAAGAAGCAGATTCAAGTGACCGTATCGCAGCATGGGACTCGCAAAATGCATGACACCCTTGCAAATTGCTCTGGAAACTGATGGGGACTCACAAGACGCATAGTGAATACCTGTTTTGGGCTCATTTCGACCGTGTCCACATGCCAGTACTAGTCGTACGAAGATCAGTCGCACAAGCAGCTGCTGACGAATCGCTTTCAACCGCATATCTCAGGAAGTAATACAGGCAACTCTGTCAAGGCACTTGTAAGGCAAATACTTTACAGAAACATGAATCACAGCTTCAAGCAGTGGAAACGGTGTACTCATCCAAAGTGATGCAGACATTTCAGGATTGTCTTGGACACATGCGCAGCACTATCATATTTCTTTGCTGCTCCAAAGAGCATCTACGAAAACAGGGTTTGACAATGATGCTGCCAACAAAGTGCACCTCCCTTGAACAACAGTTTTGTGTTTGTTTTTGTAAACTAACAACTAACAACACTGAAGGTTTGAGACTTGTTTGGTGGGCGAAAACCGATCTCCTCACCTCTCTCTCCTTCGACTAGCTTTGGCATAGCGCTGCGTTCCGCTTGCCACTGGAAGTTAGAATTGTGGCGACAATGATCTTGCCACTATGTTTTGTCTTCACTGCTTACATGTTGGACAGAGTTGTGCTGATCCAATGTGCATTCAATGCCGCGCATTCTCCGATTGAAGGTGACCAGCATGACCATACGCTTTACGTGGAAATGCCGCGGCATAATGCGGCATGTGCAACATAGTCTTTTCTTTCAGGAGCTCTGCATGCCGGGCATGGTTTTTTCCTGTCTTGTCTCATGATTCCGCCGTTTTTTTTTTTGTTTCTTTGTCCAAAATCCAGTGCAGCCCCAAATTCCGAGATTTCGGTTCAAAGGTTCAAGCGAAGCGAGCGCAGGTGCCTGTGGCGGAGGCCTCCCAGCCCTGCACCCGACTCGGGCAGCGTGACAGAGGCCCACGGCATATCTTTGCCCGGGGCGGATTCGCGGGGCTTTTTGGATGGCTCCAGTTCGCCCACCAGCAGCATCTCGCCTGCACGGAAGGCGGCAAGAGGGTACGTCTTCAGACGCAAAGCGGTCGAACCGGACAATTCCGGTTGTCCGTCTTGTGAGGGATTACTTCAGGGGGGGAATGGTGACTTATCTTTGTGTGGGTAGCAATTGGGTAGCAATTCAAAGTCATTTTGACATTCCAACTTGGATGCACTTTATGTGTCATTTTGTGGCAGGTGCGGTGCAGCCAATTCGCACCCGATTCTCTGCTTTTCATATATAGGCTTGCCGGTGTGGAAGTGTACTGCGCGGGCCGTGTTCTCTGACTTGCTGGATTGTAAGGGCCATCTGGTTGTTGGTTTTTGTTCTCTCGAGACAACATGTCAATCCCCACCGATTTCTCAGATCCACCGCTTGGGAGCCCCCCACCAAAGAGTTCGCAAGCCTCAGGTGCCATCTCCGAGGAGCTCACCGTGTGGGGTCCAGGCAACAGGCGCGGAGAGCCAGCGGCAAGCATGAGGTCCGCGCATATGGCCATGGGTCAAAATCCAAATCGCACCCCCAGTGAACATCCCAATCCCCGCTAAAATAGGTTCTAAAATGGGTGGTGCACCTAAGTGCACCTACCCCAAAATGGTACCATTGGTTTTGACCCACAGCCATATGTCTTCACGCGTCTTCTTCTTTTCATCACTCTTGGAAACGAGGGACATCACCATCAACATACCACACTTCTGCCTCAGCCAGAAGGGTTCTGGGCACATGTTCAGCCTATCTTTCGAGACCTTGTAAGTGGTTTTGCCCAGATGCCCCCCTTGAGATCAGGACGTTGGTGATGTTGGACATAGAGACACTGTCACAACAAAAGTGACGCCTCTGGGGCCTTTCTAGGGAAAATAATCCTGCAAGCTGTTGCTGGGCCATACGCGCGGTCGAGTGACCACACTCCGAAGCCTTCAAAGTATTCTAAAAACCAAAAGGGGGTGACAATTGACTCCCCTGCAAAAAATGAGTTAGACATTGGATCCGCGGGTGATCCACACGGCTTTGCAGCAGCAACCAAGAGTTTGCAGTCGAGTTGGCCGATTTCCTTGACAAATCCGTTTCGCGTTTCGGCGTGTCTTATGCTGGTGCGGCCGTCGTTGTTTAAGGGATGCTTCCTCATGCCGCACTCACGGAGACTAAGCCGGTACTCTACAAAGCAAGACCTTGATTCATTCGAAGCTTGCTTCGGGCTACCTTACTTCCGCTCGAGCCTTGCCGTGAATCAGGAGACACGCATTCTGCCGGAGGCTGCAGGTTTTCGCTCAGGGCCTTTGGGAGGCTTGACTGGATAATATTTTCGCCTGACGTGATCATAGTGAGTCACTGACAATAATGTTGGCAGTCTACCGTTAGTTAGGACATTGGAGGCCCACCCCCCCCCCGAATTGCCCACAAAAACCAGGGCGGCCCACTCCGATTCCTTTGCCTTCTGAGGGAAACAAGTACTTTTGTGCGAGGCTGATGTGGACATGTTTACGTTGCCAAGACACTGGCTTCTGGCGCGTGGCTTTGCAAAATGGGGAACCCCCGCCATACGGCGCGCTTCTTTCTCTTGGCTTCTCTTGAAAACACCCCAAACGGGGGGGGGGGGGTGGTTGGGAAGATTGCACCAAATGTGGCGCGCGCGTGCGTGGCGTGTAAGAAACGAGATCTCTTTAAATGAAAGAGATCAATTTAGTGAATGAAGCACAAACGCATCCTTTGTTTTGTTTCGATGCAAGAAGTGTACATCTCCATGTTTTTTTTTCTTTTTTTTTTTTTTTCCGTTGCTTATGATAGTTAACGATTCCTGATTTACGAAATACATCAGTGGCGTAGCATCACGCTTTGTAACAAAATTAATCTAGTAGAAAAGAATAACCGACATGGAATGGAGCGAAATGAAAAGGAAACAGTCATGAAATAGAAACGTCATGGAACAAACAATATTTGGAACGCATGAAAGCTAATGGAAGCACAATTGCAAATGTAATAACAAGAAATAGCAATGGAAACAAGGCATGACAAGGAATTGGAAAGAAATGGAAAGGACGTGAAAAAGAAAGGAGTGGACATTGCGAAACGAGCACTTTCTCGGCCCGGCCTGGCCTTGGGCACTTCTAGCTAGGAATGGAAAGCAATGGAAAGCAATGGAAAGCAATGGAAAGGAAGGGAAAGGAAGGGATGGACAGGAATGGACAGGAATGGACAAGACAGGGAGAGAAAGTCATAGAAATGGACAGAGGAAGGACATATAAGCAAAGGAATAGAATATAAATTTAATCAAAATAAATATGGAAAGGAATGAAACAAATATGGAACGGAAAGGACATGAAACTGAATCTTAAAGAAATGGAAAGGAACCACGCCGCTTCAAAATTATTGACATGGACAATTGCGAAAGGAGCACTTTTTCGGCCCGGGCTTGTCTTGGGCACTTCTAGCTAGGAATGGAAAGGAATGAAAATGAGTGGACAGAAAGATGGACAGGATTGAGCCGGGTATGGAAGGAACGCAAAGGACATGAAAAGGAATTTCAAAGAAATGAAATTGACACCTGCTGCTTCACCATTATTGACATTGACAATTGCAAAACGGGCACTTTTTTGGCCCGGGCTGGCCCTGGGCACTTCTTCTAGCTAAGAATGAAGGGGAATGGAAAGGAGTGGAAAGGAGTGGAAAGGAATAGAAATAAAGGGGAAGAGAAGCAAAGAAACGGAAAGACATAGCAAGAAATTGCAAAGAACATGGAAACACAAAGGAATGGAACCGATCATGTTTTTCCTTTGTTTAAAAATAAATAAATAAACGGGAATGGAAAGGAAAGAGAAGGGAGGAAAGTCGTTGAAAAGGAAATGGAAACAAATAGAGAAATGGAATAGAAAAGAAACGGAGATGGAAAAGTGCCCAAGGCCAGCCCGGGCCATATGGCATGAAAGGTAAGGTCTAGCCCATGTCCCAATATTATCCTATCCTAACTCATTCCTATCTCACCGCCGTGATTACTAAGGGAAAGAGGGGTTGCAAGGTAAGGAGATGTCCCTTCGTTCATATTAATGTTATCTTGCTTTTGTTTAGCTGCAACAGTTATGACTCTGGAATTTCCAAGAAGCATACCAGTCAAAGGACAGGAAAGAGACAGAGAATGAACGCTTTTGGATGCATCTCCCATCTTTGAAGCGCTTAAAGTCCTAGCACTAAGATCTTAAGGAATAGAGTTCCTATAAACAAGACACAGCGATGAAACAAGTAAATAATAAATAGGTGATATTCATGACGAGACAAAATACAGCTAGTAAATCAAATAGATAATACTTATAAATATAAACCAATATGTGTGATATTCTGGAAGATGCCCCCGCACACAGCGGCTTAAGACCGGGATCTACAGCATATTAAATCTACTTTTGGATATCTTCGTTCGCATTTATAAGGCTTGTATAGAGGATCTCCTAGTCACCTATCTGTCCTTCCTTCTCCAAATCTTAATTCTTTTTGTTGGCATGAGAAGGATTATGAGAAGGACAGATATAGAGACATAATATTTATACATTAGGATTTACTTCTTCCTCAGTCGTAAGGTTGTGGCAGCTAGCGAAGCGATGGATAGCTTGTTTTAATATCAGCTCTTGGGATCTCTTACCTATATCCTGGGTAAAAGCGGAGGAAGAAAGGAACTGCTCATTTTGCAATTTCTTTCAAAAGAGTTCTGAAGAGGCGAGTTTTCTTTCCCTCCCTGTCATTCCTTTCCATTTCCATTCCATGTCAATTCCATTTTAACTTAATTTCTTTCCTTTCTATTCTTAGGTAGCCAGCCCGGGCCAAACACGCGCTCGTTTAATTCCATTTCCTTCTTTTCCATTCCTAGCTAGAAGTGCCGAAGGCCAGCCCGTGCCAAACACGTGCTCGTTTCGCAATTTCCCGTGCCAAGAATTTGGACAGGGCGAGTTTCATGTCCATTTCCTCAAAAAATATACCTATATCTTTCCGTCCCTTTCCATGTTCCTTTCACTCCTTTGCATGTGTGTTCCATGTCCATTCCATTTCAAATCCATTTCTTTCTTTCTATTTCGTGTATTTCTGTCTAGTTCTTTTTCTATCAATTTCCTTTCCAATTTTGTTTCCACTTCTTTCCATTTTCTTTCCTTGTTTGTGTTTCCATTTCTTTCTATTCCTTTTCGCTCCTCTCTAATGAAGTGATCAAGGCCGACCAAGCCGGAAAAGTTGTTTTTGTGTAAATCTCCCCGAACAGAGGTTGAAGGGGTGAGTTTGTTTTCCCTACTTTTCAGTCCTTTCCATGTCCATTCCATTTTAATTCTACTTTAAGTCCATTTAATTCCTTTCTTGTCCGATCCGTTTCTTTCCGTTTCTTTGCCATTCCTTCCATGCCCTTTTTATGTCCTTTCTATTCCTAACCTGGTTGATCCTGCCGGCCGTATACTGATCTCACAATTAATCAGCATACTAGATAGAAACAATAGCTAAACAATCTGTCATTTTCCAATTAATGAGAAAACTAGTTGACAAATCAGTCATTGTTTTCTAGTGGTTGTATCAGTTGGATACAATAGCTAGAAAACCCATCATGCTTTTCTATGTTCATCATGGGACGCTCAGAAGAGGGCGATGAATCAACAACAAGAAAAACAATGAACAACAAACAAAAGCAATCAACAACTAACAAAAACAATCAACAACTCACAACAACAATCAACAACTAACAAAAACAATCAACAACACAAAAACAATCAACAACTAACAAGACATGGACAGGAAAGGGAACGTTTGTGCTTGGCAAGTCGGGGCTCATTGCCGATACAGTTTTGTATGGAATCCATTACCGAGCCTGCCCGGCTGGATTCCAGGCACGTTGAAGCCCAAATGAAAAGGAAAAGGAAAGGAACTGGAAAGGAAATAGGAAAGGAAAACACATGGAAAGGAAATTGGACATTGAAAGGACATGGAGGAAATAGAAAGGAAACTGGAAGGAAATGGATGTTTGAAAAGGAAATGGAAAGACAATGGAAAGGACACGGAAAGGAAAGGGCACGTTTGTGCTTGGCGGTTCTAGGCTCACTGCTGATAAAGTTTGTATGAAATCAATTACGGGGCCTGCCCCTTTCCATTTCCTTTCCATTCCTTTCTATGTCCAATCCATGTCCATGTCCTTTCCATTTCCTTTCGATTCCCCTTCCATTTTGCTCCCGTTTCCTTTCCATTTCCTTCCGATTCCTTTCATTTCTTTTCCATTTCCTTTAAATGTCCTTTCCACGTCCTTTCCATTTTCTTTCCATTTCCTTTCTTTTTATATTTCCTTTCTGTTTCCTTTCCATATTTCCTTTCCAGTTCCTTTTCATTCGCGCTTCAAAGTGTCCGGGTCCAGCCGGAATTAAACAAATAGCAGGAATATCAATCATGTTTTTCTAATTCTTATATTTTGTTCAATGAATGAGAAAAATGGCTGGCAAATCAGTCATGTTATTCCATTTTTTAAAACAGCGGGAAAACCAGTCATGTTTTTGTTTTTGTTTCTATTTTCTAAGTAATGAGACAAATTGGCTGGAAAATCAGTCATGTTATTATTTTTTGCCTAATTATTTGGAGGAGACTAGGTTTCCGGAATGTTGGGACCTATTTTTCCTAATTGTTCTCATGTTCTTAATGTTTCTATTATTTCTTTTGAATTAGAACAATAGCTGTAAAATCAGTCATTTTTTTACAACTTTAGAGCCGTCCTCTCCCTTTTCTCCTTCTTACTCTCTCCCTTGTCTCCCTCGTGCGTTCTGTCGTCCTCTCTCCCTCCCTCTGCTCCCCATCCTCCCCATCCCCCCAAGCCTCTCTCTCCTCAATCTCCCTCTCTCTCTCTCTCTCTCTCTCTCTCTCTCTCTCTCTTGCTGTCTCTGTTTCTCTGTTTCTTTCTGTCTCCCTGTCTCCTTCCTGGCCACGCCCCTCTACAGAAAAAGGGCACCCTAATTCGAACCTCTCTACTCTCTCACCTTCTCGCTCTTTCTCTCTCTCTCTCTCTGTCTTTCTGTGTCTCTCTTTCTCAGTCTCTGTCTTTCTCTCTCTCGCTGTCGCTCTCTCTGTCTGTCTCTTTCTCTGTTTCTCTGATTCTGGCTCTCTGTCTCTCTCTCTCTCTCTCTCTCTCTCTCTCTCTCTCTCTCTCTCTCTCTCTCTCTCTCTCTCTCTCTCTCTCTCTCTCTCTCTCTCTCTCTCTCTCTCTCTCTCTCTCTCTCTCTCTCTCTCTCTCTCTCTCTCTCTCTCTCTCTCTCTCTCTCTCTCTCTCTCTCTCTCTCTCTCTCTCTCTCTCTCTGCATTGCAGCGTCACGTCCCCCCCTGAGTTCCGGGCACTGCCCCTGCATGACCCGCAGCTGTCATCTCACTACTGGCTTTCCCCTTGATTTCCCCTTCATGTCCTTTTCACGTTTCCCATGATGTCCTGGTCCTGTCCCTTCCATGCCGTTCAACCCCCCCTTCATGTCCCTGACATTTTCTCGGTATGTCCGCTTCATTTTCCATGTATGTCCCGTTCTTTCGTCGCGAGTCATTTCCCTACATCTCCCGTCGTGCCGATTGGTTTCCTTGTGCGTTGTTTCCCTTTCCTTCCCCCTGCACTCCCCTGTTTTCATTTCTGTCCCTTGCATGTCCCTTTCAGTTCCCCTTTGTTTCCCTTTCCTGTCCCGCCGCTTTCCTGTCATGTCGACTTCCTATTTCCTCCCCTCATTTCCTTGCACTTCCTTGCATTTCCCCTTTGCTCCCCAATATTTCCATCAAAAAACACGGTTTTCCAGCGTTTTCGCAATTAGGACGTCCAAATTTTCGGCAAAAAGAGGCAGGAACCCCAACCCAGCAAAGAGCCGGCAGGGGGAATCGAGCCTGGGACCCCTGTTTTGCGACACTGGCTCCCCGAAGGCTACGCTTAGTGGAACGTCATCAAATTGCTGCGCGGTCCTTGGGGGGGTGGGGGGTCTGCCAGGCACATTCTACGGTAAACCTCCGGCTCAGAAGTGCTAGATGTATGGCTCAGTTATTAGAAGAATTAGATGAAAAATCAGTCAATAAAAATGATGATGAACATGATGGTGAAAAGAATATGATGATAAACATGATGATGAAAATAACATTATGATGACAGTGGTGATAAACATAGAAACCAAAATTTGGATTAAATGATGATGAACATGATGAATGATGATTTTAACAAAAATGATGTCCATGCTGATGAAAATGATGATGAACATGATGATGACAATGATGATTAAACGTATGATTAAAATGGTGATGAACATGACGAACATGATGAGGAACAAATGACAAACGAGAATGATACAAATGATGATGACAATGATAACGAACATGATGATGAAAATGATGATAAACATAATGATGCACATGATAACAAAAATGACGATGGACATGATGATGATGAACATGATTGTACAAATGATGAATCGTGATGAAAATGATGATACACATGATGATGCACATGATGATGAAGAGGATGATGAAAAAGATGATGAAATTGATGATGAAAATGATGACGAACATGATGATGAACATGATGATAGCAATTAAAAAACATGCTGATGTACATGATGATGAACATGATGATGAACATGATGATAAACATGATGAATGATGATACACATGATGTTAAACACGATGAACGATGATGGAAACGATCATGACAATGATGATAAGCATGATGATGACCATGATGATAAACATGATTAATGATGATGAACATGATGGCGAACACGATGATGAAAACGATAATGGCCATGATGATGAAAATGATGATACTAAGCATGATGAATGATGATGAAAATGATCATGCAAATTATGAATGATGATGAACATTATGAGAAGATGATGATGAAACATATGATGAATATGATGATGAAAAAGATGATGACGATGATGATGAACATATTTTTTGCAATTCATTAGACCAATTAGCTGAACAATCATTCATTTGAACTATCAGTCAATGTTTTCTATTTTTTCGAAAAATTATCTAGTTTTTCTAATTAATTAGAAACAATCGCTGAACAATCACTCATTTTTTCTTAATTTTCCTAAATTTTCTAATTAATTAGAAAAAATAGCTGAAAAATCAGTCATTTTTTTCTAATTTTCCTAATTTTTCTCTAATTTTCCTAATTTTTCTAATTAATTAGAACAATTAGCTGAAAAAGCAGTCAATTTTTTCCAATTTTTCTATTTTTTCTAATTGTCCCCGGTCTCCGGGATGTTGGGACCTATTTTTTTTCTATGTTTTCTTGTGTGCCGAGGACATCATAGCAGTCCTGATTTGCACACTCGGCTTGGTGGGCATTGTGACCTTCTTCGTTTGGTGCATGGTGCAGGCCTTCGAAGATTTCGATTATTCGAAGTACACCAATTCGCCAAAGGTGGACAGCGGCCCGGCGACGGTGGATTCCACCCGTTTGTTTCTTCGTATTTTTTCTGTGGAGGAAGGGGATTTCCTTTATGGCCCAGTTGCCTAGTGGCACTTTTTTTGCTCCTTCTTTGTTTTTTGGCTTTTCCTTCGGACCCAGCGGAAGAAAGAACTGTTATGGACATCCTCTGGGCTTAGGCATCAAAGAGTGGCTGAAGCGGCATGGCGTTGACATCAGCAAGATGGATTGGTCAAGCATTTGGGCAACGTTCAGAGGGCAGCTTCTGGACACGCTGAATGCCATGATCTCCTTCACAGAAGGCATAGTTCTTACATCGCTGATGTTTTTCTTCTGCTTGTATGCCCTGGTGCCGAGTCCTCATCAGAAGAGGAGCTTACTTGCTTTCAGACTTGTTGCTCTCGCCCCCAAATTGTAGTTATCCTTCATGAATTCCTAGACTTCGTTCTTTTTGTTTTCGGGAAGACCAATCTAGTGGCAAACTTCCGAAGTCTGCCACTGCATCTTTTTTTCGGGTGAGTCTCTCCCGTTTCCACCTCCCTTTTTTTTCCTTGTGAGGAGGCGCACCAAAGGCATCAAGCACCTGATGCAGCGCTACTTGCTGTGGAAGACCATCTCCAGCGCCGTTATCGGCTGCGCCGTGGGCTTCTGCCTGGCCATCATGGGGGTGGACCTCGCCTTCGCCGCTTGGGTTTCCCCGAAGACGCGAACGTGGGTGCTTTGGTTTGCCGGTGTTCCCGGTGTTCCTTTTTTTTTTTCTCCACGCCCTTCCAATTGGAACTGGGGGAGGGGGGTGAGGTCTGGAATTCCATTTCTGGTTCCATATGTTCTTGACGGGGAAGACTAGTTGCATGGAATTGGGGACCCCCCACCCACCCCTCAGACTCATGGTACGGGGGATTGCCTGTGAAACGGGTAGCAACTCCTAGCACAGCCTCGAGTTCTGGGTTGAATGATTTGCAAGCTTTGCCCTGGCACCCGGGGCTTTGGGGCTTCGCTTGGCCGCTTTCCATGGTGGCCTCTTGGGGGGTCCTTCTGCGGTGGTTTAAACATATGTAAGCCAAGCAGGTCAACGGGCGCTCAAAGTACATAATCTCGTTGGGATCCGACAACAGTGGTCCCAACGCCATGGGGGTTCAGAGCCGATGTGAATTTCGCAAGCACGGACGCCTCAGAACGTTGTACCCACATTGTTTGCTTAAACATACCTTGATTTATCATGTCGTCATATGCATATATTCACCCATACATCACTCGCAAAAGTGTCATCAGGCAACTAGTTGCCAATGCACGCATTGTTTCACAAGCAGTGGACCACATCTCATCGGAAACTCTGGCTTTGTTGAGTGCCTTGGGAGCAGGTGCCGAACAGTCTGCCACACCCAATTGCGACCAAGGTGTTCGGAATTCTCACCTTTGTTTTGAACTTCATTCCGAACCTTGGCATGGATAGCGGGGTTCAGAGCGATGCACAGCAAGAGGCATTGTGAAGGCATCTAAGCATGACTTGCCGGGCCTGCGTGTCTCTTCTCAGGAACGTTGGAGCTGCAATTGCCGAGCTCTTGCCTGTTCCACTTGTTCTCCTTGACCCGGACAAGACGCTCAGCGAGGTGCGTATTGCCCGAGCAAGGTGCGAGGCCCTGAGCAGTGTCCCAGGCCGTCTTCGTTTTTGTTGTCCCTTTCATCATCCACAATGTGTTGGGAGCTGAGCGCACCTCACACAGACCCACAGGTTCCGACAGCTGAATCCCACAGCACTTGCCAGAGGCTTGGATGCATCATGGAGAACAAGATGATGCAGCATGGTCTGGTGGCCCAAACTCACCACGTGCGCGATGGTCATTCAGCTTCGCTGTGTGTTTCCAGCCGATGTGTCCAGCTGTGCTCTCCCACACACACACAAACAGGCACACACACACACACTCTCTGTCTTCGTCTCTCTTTCTCTCTCTCTTTCTCTCTCTCTTTCTCTCTCTCTTTCTCTCTCTTTCTCTCTCTCTCTCTCTCTCTGTCTTTCTCTCTCTTTTTCTGTTTCTGGCTTTCTGTCTTTCTGTCCTTCTCGCTTTCTGCCTTTTTCCAGCAACTTTTACAGACCCTTGAGACACACAGACCCTTGCGACAGGGTGTGACAAGTCAGATTCATTACTTCGAGGCTTGGACCTGCATCCCTTGATCGTGGTCGTGGCATTGACTTTCTGGAGTGCGGCCGGAGACCTTGAAGAGAGGACAGGAGAGCAATCATTTTCAGCAAGGTGTGTTATGATGCCTACGGCATATTATTAAGTTAGTATAATTGTATTCTAATGCCCGTGGCATATTATTAATTGACGGAAACCAAGACTTTACCCCATGGGTGCAAATGTTTGGCCAAGGCCACGGTTCACGTAGCGGCAAGCTACTGTCTTGTTTCATCGCATGCTGAGGTTTGGGGCGTTGCCGGTGCTGTGCTCTCCGTGCCTTTGACATCTGTCATCAGGCCTTCGCCGCTTTGCAGTGCCTCAAGAATGAGCTTGCTTTGTTCCAAGAGCGTGCTGTCTGTATAACCCTTGTGCCTCTGGTAGCCTTGCGTCTTTTCGGTCTTGCAAACCTTTGCCTGCTTCTGCTTGCCGGAACGATCCGCCAGGCTTTGGCTGGAGGAGGTGGACAACCCCTATGCACGCGCTGTCCCTGACCTAGCTTGAAGCGCACTGGCCATGTGAGGCAGGCCTGTGGAGATGTCTTGTACAGAGGTGTTTGACGTACATTCGCGCCAATGGTTGAAAGGGTGCCCTCAAGAAGGCAACCGACTATCCATCCCATTCTCCAAGCTGAGGCTTTCATGCTGATCAGCGGGCCGCAGGCAAAGCCGCCAAAGCAGGCGGGCCTGGACCAGAGTTGTCTTCAGCAACAAGCAGGGAGCGCGGAGTTACTATGGCATGCAAAGCTTGGAGCTTCATGGCCAAGCATCGTGCTCAGGTAGAGGCCAGACAGGCAGAGGCCGCGTCGGGTGACAAGTTCTGGACCGAACTGATGGCTGGGTAAGGGCAGCAAAGCAGGCTCAGAGAGGCAAACATGAGAAGGGCTCCTCAGAAGATACATTTTGGCACCGTGGATAGTGCAACAACCTCTGATGATGTTCCACTTGTTTTTCTTTGTGGTGAAAGAGAGAGTCGCTTGTCATTCCTCAAGATCTACACGCACTTAGCGCGCGGAAGGTGATGTGGAAGGTGGTAACATGATTGCTTGCAATGTTGAAGTATTTCAGCAGAGTGCGCCAATATGTGTGTCTTTTCATGTGTAATGTTTCTACGTGTATTATGTACGTATGTAAGCAATGCGATGTACTACAATGTGCCAACACATAATGTAAATGTAATGCAATGTAATGTAATGTGATGTCATGTGACATGTTGTGATGTGATGTAATGTAATGTCTTGCAGAGTGTACTGTATTGTAGTTGGGATGTCATGTAATGTATGTAATGTATGCAATGTATGCAATGTATGCAATGTATGCAATGTATGCAATTTATGCAATGTATGAAATGTATGCAATGTATGCAATGTGTGCAATGTATGCAATGCCTGCAGTGTGTGCATGTAGCGTAACGTATCCTTTTGGAGGATTGTGTTGTAATGTAGTGTATTGCAATGCCATGCAAGGGAATGAAATTTAGTGTAGCTAGAATGTAATATATCCACATATAATTATTGTAAACGCTTCGCGCTGCTTGCCTCGGCCAGCATCAGCGCTTGCTTTGAAGGGATGGTGTTTCGGCTCTGGATCTGCGCACATGCAGGGCGGATGTTTATTGCGTGCGCATGTGCATGGAATCCCCCGGAGAGTGGCGCGGCATCTCACGGCATCTGGAACACAGAGTAATCCGTTGAAGTGTTGCCATGCCGCGCTCCGAGTGTGGGAGCTCGCTTCAGGGCTGGCGTCGGTTTCTTGATGCCGGGAGTGGCGAGTGGGACAAAGCCAGCCTCATTGGTGGATGTGGGCCGCGCGACATGGGTCAGAAGGGGGTGGGTGGGAAGATGGCTTCCAAAGGCAAAAACGCCGAAGAGTGCAAGCTTGAGCACCTGCCTGGGCTGGGCCGAGTCTGGGTGGCAAAGCGAGTTAGGAAGGCCGAAGAAAGCGCTTGGGCCGGGCCCTGGCAGACTCCCCGGCCCGCAAGGCCGCGGGTGGGTGAGGGCCAAGGGCGCGCTCAGGGCCGAGCTAGTCCAAGGGCAGAGCCTGAGATGGAACCAAACCAACAACCCAAAACAACCGAACGCCAGAACCGCAAAAGCTGAAAACGCAGAGAACCCTAGACACATTTGTTCAAACTTAAAAAGTACGCGGTCGCGCAGGAACTCAAGATGCAAAGGTTCAGACCTGATGGTTGTGTTTCTTGCCAGCTTGAAAGGAGCTAGCTTCCACGCTCATCTCCTGCCAGCCTCATGAGAAGGGTTTCCGAAGCGAAATCCGTGTTAGGAAAGTTGCAACGGTGCAAGTGAGAGGCTTCTAGCAAGAGCAAGAGCAACTTTTGGGGCTGCGGAAGTGGCCTTGAAAACGACGAAAGGGCCCACAAAGCAGGGGCGGAATGCACGTCAACTATGTAAGCGGTGGGCACCACGCATGGCTCCTGCGAAAGGTACTGGGTAAGCATGTGTTGCCGCTTGCAGGTGCTGCAAGATGCTCACCTCGCCTAGATTGTGAACTGTTTGCATTCGAGCAGCATGCCAAGAGAGGCATGTTGATCCATGCTTCATGTGTGCTGTCGGGCGACTGGACTGTAAATAGAATCCGGCCGTTCCTGGCCAAATCTTCCGAAGGGGAGTTCAGGGCGGGCTGCAAGTCATTTGCGAACTAGTTGTGATGCTTGCAAGCCATGCCTGCCAGCCGGGCCGTGTACAGGGACGCATGAAGCTGCACGTGCATTGCGAGAAAACAATGTGCTTTACGCCAGAAGAAGGGCGGCTAACTTGTGCTGCCAAGTGTGTTGTTCTGTTTGCCGGCTTGCAGGAACGCAAGAAACACGATTGGGGCTGTCGGCCATTTCCGCAGCAATTAGTTGAATACATTGCTCCATTAGAGATGAGCGTTTGGGCATGTGCACGTTGCAGAGAAACTCCGACCTTTTCTTTGCCATGTGGAGCAAAATATGGCTAACCATATCCTTTCTGTCAATGCGCAACACACATGGCGATGACCTTGAGCTGCAAACCCGGATCTCGAGGCAAAGACACCACCGTTGGATTGGAGCTGTCGATCATCCATCAAAACCTCATTGATTGTCATGTTTGTGTGTGCTTCTCACCCGGGAAGCCAAAGAGAACACACTATTTGTGGGGTATCCCTGCCCATTTGGACACATGCCCCGGCCCATATTTTGGGTAGCACTCCGTTGACATGTCGTGACATGTCCATTCCAACAGGATCCTCTCTCGACAGAGGCGTGAATTATAGACTGAGGTGTGAAACATGAGCGCCTTGGTGCTGATCTCGGAGGTTGAATGTGTGTATTTGCGTATGCGTTTGAACATGTAATTGTAAACGCTTCGCGTTGCCCGCCTCAGCCAGTCCGCGTTTGGCTTTGAGGTATACACCGTGCTTTAGTTTACCTTAAAGTCTTGTGTTTATTAAACTAAGTGAGTCGGCGCCAAAATGCGTGAGCTGCTTTCCATGGTAGAGGGTGGGTGCATGTCTGTGTGTTTTATATATGGTTTCAAGCGTTTCTGGAGGGAGCCAATTGGAAATGGACATGTTCTTGGAGGTGGTCTGACAGGTTTCTAGAGGGGAGTTTGATTGGGAGTTTTGAAAGGGGGATTTGGTTGGTTTCTGGAGAGGAAGTTGACCGGTTTCTAGGGATGGACCGGAGTTGGGACCGGCTTTGAGAGGGGGAATTTGACCGGGACTTGGCCGGAGATGGGCCGGTCTTTCGAGGGGATTTGACTGGACTAGATGGGAAGTTGACCGGTTTCTACTTGATTGACTGGAGTTGGATCGGATCTGACCGCTTCACGGCCCTGGGGCTTCGAGGCTCGCTTCAGGCGGGTTGCAGGCAGCTGGAGCAGGGATTTTGGGGGGGCCGCTTCCCGGCCCTGAGGGCTGAGGCGAATATATGTATATATATATACACGTATTTTGATATGTACATTTATACATATATACGAATATATATATATATATATATATATGCACATCATTTGTGCCCCTTTTGGTTTAGTTGCGCTGCAGTGTGCTGCATACATTCTGTGCCTGTGTTTGTGTTTTGATGGAACTCGCTTGGACCAGTTTGCATTTGCAACCCAGGACGGTGTCTTCACCTCACTGATCAAGGAACGCCTGTTGAGAAGCGACTTTTTCGACGTATTATTCTTCGGTCCTGGCCGTGCTTATTGCTTTGGTCCTGGCCAGGAACTGGAGGCAAAGTACGAGCAGGTTGAAGCTCTCCTCAAGCAAGCCCAGCCAGCGAATCGCAAGGACACTGAGTGAGGCGATCACTATGACACCTTTGATTTCTTACCTGCCTGAGGAGTTTGCGCAGTTCTGTTGGAAGACGGGCAGAGTTGTCAGGCTCATTGCCATGCTTTTGGAAAGCTGGGTGGCGAATTGTCACTGGCTTTCCTGTTATTCTGACTGTGAGAAGGAGCTTTGCACTTATCAACCCTGAAATGATCTGCTCTCTTCATTCAATTGCAGGCAGCTCATCAAGCCCGAGTTCTCAGAGGACTGAAGCAATCCGATCGGGACTCATGAGTAGTGGTTGGCGAATGTCTTTCGCATATGTTTTTTTTTGGATGCAGCCACCATTACATGATATGCTCTCATTGGGAAATTTCCCGCCCGCTTCGCTAACTACCGCGCGCACATTAGCTTGCGGCTGCATTGCCTTTGGGCAGGAGCGCGATTTGCTGTGGCATGCGTGCAAAGGGCTTTTGAAAGCGGCGCTGGCCTTACGATGTTTGGCTGAATAGTGATGAGGTGCTTTTGACATTCCCTCCTTTTGGATTGTCTAACATGACTTTCTTGCCTTTGACCCCACCAGCTCAGCGCAAAGAAGAAACTGTGATGGGCGGACGCCTGCCATGAAGCTGCGACCCAAACGGCATCTGGAGGTCTTGGTCATAGACAAGTTCCAGCCGGGTGTGTTCATGGACAACTCAGCAGCAGCCTTGGCATTCCCAGCGATCAAGCGCTCGATGGTTCCACAGGTCCGCACAGATGTGCTTGAAAAAGACCTGGCCAACATGCTGCAGAAGCTCATCACTTACCTCAAGAAGAGGAAGCAGGGTTCAATCCCTGCGCCAGAGGAAAAGTTGGAGGCTCTTTGACGAGTGCAATTGAGTTGAGTTTCGTGTGAGCCATGTTTTTTTGCAGACGAAAACAACATGTTTCGTTGAAGCCGAGTGGAAGGTTCGGGAACGGAAGAGCAAGAAGCGCGATCCAGATCCAATCTTAGCTTTTGAAGGTGTGAGGCAGAGGCAGTTGCCCAGGCTCAGTCTGGGCCTGGAAGCACTTGTTTGCGTGACGAGCAGGGCGGCCCGCCCAAGCTCTTGTTCGAATGTTCAGAGCAAGATACGAATGATGCAGACTGCCAAGGAGGAGAATGAGGAAAAGTGGGATACAACTGCCTCCTGGGGTGAGGCGGGGATTTGTGAGTTGCTTTGGGCATGACATCTGGGTGAACGAGACACTAGGCCAGCCGCCCTTCGAAGAAGCAGAAAGGCTTGGAGCATTTTCAGCTTGTCGCTCGGAGCTGGTGAGTGCGAAGTTATCAGATTGACCGTGCAGGTTCAGACTGGTGGGAAGGTGGGGCGGAGAACACGGCTCCAAAGCACCATGTGGTGGAGGACCCCTGCAGCTTGCGGCATCGCACCTGCATTTTTGCATACTTTGAAGCCGCATCATGGGTTTGCTCGTGTTACCCCCATTCCAGCTCGCCATGCATTGCATTCCCAGCCTTGTCGCCTTGCACCTGCAGCGCCCAAGCACTGCCCCTCGCTCGAGGAGAGCGATCCAGAGGAAGCCTGCCCTGACAAGGCGCGCCGGGTTTCCGGGCCTTTCTACTTTGGGTTGCACGTGTTTGCACCATGTTTCACTGTGCAAGGTGTTGCACCATGTTGTGAGGACAAGTTTGGGAACTGCTCCTATGGCCGCCAGCCAGTTGCTGAGACTGCGTGCATAGGCATAGGTTTTAGACTTACTCGTCTTCTTTGCAGCCTGATAGTCTTTCACATACCGTCGTGTTACATTCAGTGCTGCGTGGCCTGCAATGTAGATGTTCTGCCCACTTGCTGACGCGACGGACTGTGCTAACATCAGCTACCAACCGGCTTTCACGGCTTGCGGCTTCAAGGTGCGGCTTCTGCTACAGGTGAGCCATCTGATAGTCGAGGCTACCAGGGCTTATCGACAATGCACGATGGCATCGGAGGCGGTCGATTGTTGCCATGGAATTGGTCGTGGAACTTTCTGACCTGCGTCTTCTTAGAATGCTGCTCGTGAATTCTGCCAGTGCGGCCAGAAGTTGTGGAAACATAGACTGTACCGCATGCCCAATACACGATATATGCCAAAGATTAGGGGTGAGAACAGCTGTGAGTTGGTATTTCAAATTGAGACTAGAAGATGCTAGATTTGCTCCTGACTCACTTCAGCCAGGAATGCAAGCATGCACTAAACACTGCAGCAATATCACAAGCCGACTGATATCCTTGAATCAAGAGTGGCACGGCCCACGCTTTGACACTTGCAGACTTGGATTTTTAAGGCCTCTTGACGGATGAAGCATGCCTAAAACATGTGCACCGCCCATCCTGCCTCGCAGCGGCTCAACCCAACTCAGTTGACATTCAAGCACACGTCTCAGCTGAAATTCCAGTTGGCTCGCCAGCTCTGGACCATGCAACACTGAGGACCCCACCCTTGCCTGACCCCAAACTGGCCCGCACGGGCCACACTCCCACAAAGCAAAGCCCTGAGCCAGATTCATCACGGATTGAGGCACCCATGGCACCCCACATAGCATCGCAGCTGTCTCCCCAGGGAGCCTTCCGGGTGTGCACTGCGCCGAAATCTCGGCGCGCGAGGGCCACGCCACGGCGGGTGCGGTTCGAAGAGCCCCGGCGCCTCGGCAGCCAGAAGCGGCTGGAGCAATGACGTGACGGGAGTGGCGGGAGTGGCGGGAGGGACTGCATCAAGGTTTGGAGGAGATTTGACAAAGGAATAGAGGGACTTTGATTTCCGTCACCAAGTCTTGCTCAAAGGGTGAACATGGCAAGCAATTCGTGAAGTGGATGTGTTGCATGCCAAAGCTGGCAGGCAACAAGGCTAGCAGCATGACTTCACCAATCATCAGACTTTTCCCCATTTAATGACCCACTTCTTGCTTGAACCGCTTGCCGCAGCCCAGGCTTGCCCTTGTTGCTGCCAGGGCATGACGAGTGAGGTGCAGTTGGGTATCGATTCGTGGTGAGGTAGTAAGTCTGCATTGGTCTGGGTTGGCCATGCAATATGGGAATGTGTGAGTGCGGTCGATGATCAGGTTGCCCCCTGCATGCCGTTTGACTGGTGGCGACGCGCCTCAGGAGGGCATCGTCCAAAGAACTTGCTCGCAGGTAGCTTGAGCGTGTTATTTCAACTCAAGGAGATGTGGGGGGCAAAGCCAGCCGGCAGGACGGTCTGCGGGCGCAGGTGGAGGCGCCGGTCAAAGTGCAGAGCTTTTGAGGGATACATGCAGAGTTTGCGAAGGATCTGGTATAGGTGCTTGCTTTCCCTGAGCCTTTCCTGTCAGGCCTGATGACAAGTGAAGGCCCCAGCAACTGCCGGAAGATTTTGGTGCTATTGGTGCTGGTAGGTGCGCAGGGGCGAGCTCAAGACATTTGCCGGCGCCTACAGGAGGCAATTTGGCAGTGGGCTGTCGGAAAGGCTGCTGTGCTGTCATGCGAGTCTGCTGGCCACGTGTGGCCTGGGTTTGTTTGGCAGCTCTCATGCTGCCCTGCATCAGATAACTTGCCAGGCGCTGGATTCCTTGGCAACCGGTACAGGCTGCCTGAGCCGCTGCGGTCGGTTGTGCGGTCTTCTCCCAGACCCTATTTGATGTTTTCTGGAACTTCGGCAACCCACGCAGTTTGGGGCAATGCCGAAACCTTGACATTCGAAGATCGCCACCGGGAACGCCTGGCAGATGCAAAAGACCATCCTGACGGGCAGTCGGAGGAAAACTTCAAGCGGCTCTCGCAGGACTGGGCCGAGTTGCAAGGGACTGCGGAGGAAGGCCTTGAGCCCGCATGGCTACGTTTTTGAGGGGAAGCTGCGTGGAGACGGCATGTGGCTGGCTCAGGATGTCAAGAAGCAGCTGCAGGCACTCCTGGAGGCAGTGAAAAGCACGGGTGGGTCAAAGCAGGGGGATTTGGGCACCCGAAATGGCCTCAGCTTTCCTTGAGGCCGAGCCCTCAAAAACCACGCAAAGGGCTGGCAACAGCTTCCGGCAGGTCCTGCAGGAAGCTGAGAGGAGCAGCTCAGCAGGCGCCCGGATCCCGCATGCCATGTGTCAATGAGTCACAGAGGCATTTCGGACCTTCAAATATGCATTTCGGCTTTCCCTTACGGTTTCTCCAACCAGTATCATCGAAAGGACACATAGCCACGGAACGGTAGTGAGGCTCTTCGTCTGGCAGTTCATTTGCAAGGGAACCTCCTGGAAAGGCCTCGGGATCATGGGTGTGCGCGCCAATCGGGGTCCCACCCAACTTTGGCCACCCGCATGGCCCGTATGGCGCTGAATCAGTGAAGTTTTCATGTTTTCTCCTTTCCCGTGAAGGCGAGATGCAGAATGCACCGCTCGTCAAGGCATGGCTGGGCCAGGCCGGAGCTCTGGCGGGCCCCTTGAAAACACGAGAAGCGTTCAGCATATGCGAAACCTGAAGGAGGCTGTTTAAGCAAATATTGTCGGCTTCAGGTCTTCTAAGATGATTTGATGGTTTGGACCAGCTCCAAACTGCTACCTTGAGGGGATGGGATCTACAATCCTGGTTTGAACATATTGTAAGAGAAGCCAAACGAAGTCTACTGTTTCGAATATATCGTTAAATCATATTCTCTGTTTCATTTTTGGGTCAGCGATCCCGATGTCAGTTCCTGGGGGACGACCTGCCGAAGCACTTGGTGCAGAACCTCACGCAGCTGGAGTTCGAGGAGCGCTCTGCTCTGAAACCGCCGCTCGCTGTCCTTGTTTCTGCTTTTTTTCTCTTTGTTTGATACTAAAAGGGAGTTCGCAATTTTGAGATTCGCCCAGGTGTGTCTCTTTTTGAGTTGGTAGCCTTTTTGGCGGTGGTTGAGGAACCAAAAAGAAACCAACCATTTTGTAGGTATAGTTTGTCTCCAAATGGATCCATTTTTGGGAAGCCGGAAGGACACCGACCCACAGTGTTTGGGCTCCGTGTTTTGAGACAGATCATGTACTTTGCGCTGCTTGAGCAATCAACATTTACGGTCATCTACCGCAGTAAACTGGATGGCAGGGAACACACGCCAAACTACCATTCGGAATAGGGCCAAAATGCAAAAACACGCAATTGGAGGAAACCAACTCATATTGACAGTGGCTGTACTTTGTGCTGGTTAAATTCCAAAGTGAGCACTGGCCAAAATATCGTGGCGCTGTACTTCTAATATGATCCACAGAAGCACTTTCAGCTTTGCAAAATCATACCTCTCCAACGTTTTTTTTCTCCATTTTTTTCTTTTATTGGGCATGCAACTCTCCCATCGCCAGGTTCGAAACGACGTAGTGACTGCGCTCGCCTCACTATTTGAAGTGCCGAACTTCTGGGTCCTCTTGAGTCATCATGAGTAAAATGGCTTTTAGAGGGCCCGATGGTCACCATTTAGCTGGAATCATATGGAAGATGTCCTATGAACATGGACCCCGACTTTTCAGCCAGCGCCGTGAGTGCAACTCCTTGAGTCAAAAGGTGATTTAGTTTGTCCCACTACTTCGACGCTATCCATGCACACCATTTTGTGCATCCGGTGGTGCGCCAAAAACGCGGCAAACCGCGCGAGGTCTGTAGGGCCGGAAGGGCGGCAGTCGCCAAACCTGGGCTGTCAAAGGCCACCGGCGCCCCGTTCGCAGAGTCCGGCCCAGGTCTTTAGCGCAGTCGTTCGCCTCGGGGCAACTCTCACAGATGATGACCTGCTGCAGCAGTGCCCTCCAACGGCAAGCGATGATCTGCCTAGGCAATCTAGCACATGTTGTGTGTGTGTGTGCGCGATGAGGTGATGCGTTGAAAGTGCGTTTTCACAATAATTTGGGAATGTCAAGAGACATGTTTAGACAATGGCAATGACAGGTACTCTAATGCAACGGAATGCAGTGCAAGGTAACGTCAGGAACACGCACTATACATTCATATTCAGGGGTGTGTCTTTTTGTAAGGGTACTCTATTTGGGGGATTTCTTTGTTGGACCTTCTACATACATGCGTACGTACATACATACATGGGTAGGTTTCTAGTGCAATGTAATGTAATATAATGTGGTGTAATGTAATGTAATGTACTGCATTGTAACGAAATAGTATGCAATGCAATGTAATGTGGTGCAGTGCAATGCAATGCAATACAATGTAATGTAATGTAACGTAATGTATGATTGCAGGCTTGTATGATTGAATGTTTGTACAGTTGTATGTTTGTGTGTATGGTTTGTGTATATATAATGTGATATGTAATGATAATGTAATGTAATGTAACATAACGTAATGTAGTCCAATGTAATGTATGTAAAATGTATGTATGTATGTACGTTTGTATGTAATGTTATGTAATTTAATGTAATGCAATGTAATATAATGTAATGTAATGTAACGTAATGTATTCTAATCTAATGTAATATAATGCAATGTAATGTAGTGTATGTATGTAATATATGTTTGTGATATATGTTTGTGTGTATGTATGTATGTATGTATGTAATGTAATGTAATGTAATGTAATGTAACGTAACGTAACGTAACGTAATGTAATGTACTGTAATGTCATGTATGTATGTAATGTATGTATGTATGTATGTATGTATGTATGTAATGTAATGTAATGTAATGTAATGTAATGTAATGTAATGTAATGTAATGTAATGTAATGTAATGTAATGTAATGTAATGTAATGTATGTATGTATGTATGTATGTATGTATGTAATGTATGTATGTATGTATGTATGTATGTATGTATGTATGTATGTATGTATGTATGTATGTATGTATGTATGTATGTATGTATGTATGTATGTATGTATGTATGTATGTAATGTATGTAATGTATATAATGTATGTAATGTATGTAATGTATGTATGTATGTATTGTATGTAATGTATGTAATGTATGTAATGTACGTAATGTATGCAATGTATGTATGCAATGCATGTATGTATGTATGTATGTGTGTATGTATGTATGTAATATATGTATGTATGTAATGCAATGTAATGTAATGTAATGCAATGTAATGTAATGTAATGTAATGTAATTATGTATGCATGTATGTATGTATGTATGTATGTATGTGTGTGTGTATGTATGTATGTATGTATGCATGTATGTATGTATGTAATGCATGTGATGTATGTAATGTATGCAATGTATGTAATGTATGTAATGTATGTATGTATGTATGTATGTATGTATGTATGTATTGTATGTAATGTATGTAATGCATGTATTGTATGTAATGTATGTATGTGTATATGTATGTAAGTATGTACGTGTGTATGTATGTATGTATGTATGGATGCATGTATGTATGCATGCATGTATGGAATGTATGTATGTATGTACTGCAATGTAATGTAATGTCATGTAATGTCATGCCATGTCATGCCATGTCATGCCATGTAATATATTGTAATGCAATGTAACGTAATGTAATGCAACGTAATGTATTCATGCATGCATGCATGCATCCATGCATGCATGCATGTAATGTAATGTAATGTAATGTAATGTAATGTAATGAATGTAATGTAATGAATGTAATGTAACGTATATAATGTATGTACGTATGTAATGTATGTACTGTATGTATGCGTGTTATGTTATGTTATGTTATGTTGTGTTGTGTTATGTTATGTTATGTTATGTATGTCTGTATCTATGTATGTATGTATGTATGTATGTATGTATGTATGTATGTGTGTATGTGTGTATGTGTGTATGTGTGTATGTATGTATGTATGCAATGTAATGTAATGCAATGCAATGTAATGTAATGTAATGTAGTATAGTGTAATGTAATGTAATGTCATGTATGTACTGTATTGTAATGTAATGTCATGTCATGTCATGTAATGCAATGTGAATGCAATGTAACGTCATGCAATGTAATGTATGTGTGCATTCATGCATGCATGCATGTATGTAATGTAACGTAATGTAACGTAATGTATGTATTTAATGTATGGAATGTAATGTAAATGTAAATGTAAATGTAAATGTAAATGCAAATGTAAACGTAATGTAATGTAATGTACGTATGTAATGTAGTGTAATGTGCTGTAATGAATGTAGTATGTAATGTATGTATGTACGTACGTACGTATGTATGTATTTATGTACATACGTCGTATGAACGTATGTATGTATTTATGTACATACGTACGTATGTATGTACGTATGTATGTAGTGTAGTGTAGTGTAATGTAATGTACTGCAATGTACTGTACTGTACTGTACTGTAATGTAATGTAATGTAATGTTATGTTATGTATGTTCGCATGTGAAGACTTGCTGGGTGCAACCGTGTGGTTTTATTGAAAAAGGAACTCATCTTCCTTTTTTCCCCGGCAAGCCTCAACTTGTTTTTTTGGTTTTGCTTGCTCCGGATAATCCACACTGATATGCACTGGATACGGGGCGATATTTGTTGTTGCAGCAGCAACTGTGGTTCTTGACAACGTTTGAAACAAGGCCGTCCCTTTGAACGTAGGACATTGGCTGTCAAGCAGGGCCTTTTGTTTGTTGCACCTGCCAGAATGCGATTCGCGGTCCGCTTTTGCCTGCTTTGAAAAGGTCTCAATGCATCGAAAGGGATCGTCCTGTTTTGATTTTTCTTTACACATAAGGATGACAGAATCTCATGGCATGGCGCACATTGCATTTTGTGGTGCTGTAGGCTAGCTTGGAGCCACCAGTTTCTCGCACCACATTGCCCAGGGATAGATCATCCAGTGCTTGGAATCAAGTGTTTCCTACCTTCCATTTTAGGGCTGTGACTGTCCAGGAGTCACTTGTAAGGAGTTTCAGGAGAGTCTTTAGGGGATGGCAAGTATAGCGTTTTTCTTGTGCTCAACACGGCGGGTCTTCTTGGATTCCCCACACCCTGTTTCCAAGAATGTCATCCCAAAAAAGCAAGCAGTATCATATCCAAGGAGTTCGATCGCACTTTGCATGCAGTAGTCCCATTCTTTAGAATGTGAGTACACCCTTCTAGTACAAGGTTTCGATTGCGACTCGTTGCAAGTGTTTGCCTTGGTCCATATCCAGGTACGTCAAGGACCACCCGCAGTTCTTTGAATTGTTGGTCAAGGGCTACGAGACGCCTGAGGCATGGGCTCAAAGCTTGAAGCCATTCCCAGCCATACACTTTAGACTTTAAGATTTCCATTCAGAGTTGAACATTTAGTAAGGGATCAACGAACCCGTATCTACATGTCTCTTGCATGTGAGAGAACTCCTCTCGGCAGATTGCGACGCATTGTGGGATGATGCTGCGATCGTGTGCCCCTTTCTCAGAGTGCGTCCTCAACCTTGAGAGGGAATCGCTAGCAACGGTCGGATGGAACCGGGTTCAAAAAATTCGGTCCTCCCCATCCAGGTCTGGTACCTTTTTTCTATCCTTGCGACCCATGCACTTTGCTCACTCTGAGGCGCGCCAAGCCAAGCTTGTGCAGACCTTCTTGTCGCAGACAGCAGCTCCTTTGGCTGTAGGGTGTGCGTGTGTGTTTTGTTGAGGCTTGGTACCCTTTTCACCTTGGTTTAAAGGGCAACGAAAAGGACACCGTTTTGGGCATAGGTCGTTCTCAAGCTGATCCAGTTCACGCGCCATGAAGTGTTCGACATCTCGCTCTGGCCTTAAGATTCGATGACCTCCATTTAAATTGGCGAAAAGCTTGGCCCAGTTGACTTGCTGTTGCGATAGGCAGGGAATGAGTTGGAATGGACCCCTATGAACCGTCCAACTGGTGGTTTCCTTTAAGGGGACCAATTCCTGGGTTCCTTCCCTCATTCCCTAGTGAGCACCAACAGGTTGAGGGGCAACAGCAGGGTCCTTCTTTTTGCCCACTGAGGACGGATGCCTTTTCATCGCTGCACGACTTCCTCCTCAATCATCAAGATGTCTCTGCGGAGTTTCTGCAGGCCCTGTCGTCAATGGACATCCTCCAAATACACCGCTTCCTTTGAACATGAATAACCATCCCTGTTCTGACATATTCCGAAATGGAACAGAAGCCACGCGTTGGTCATTTCTATCACTTTCTTCGTCTCGCTCTCTTTCTGTTTTCTGTCCCGGAATGTGATTTTGGTGTGTGTGTGTGTGTGCGCGCCATTTGGCTTGCTGCCACGCGCTGTTTCAATCGGGCCAGCCGTCACGCAAACACCGGCTAACGAAGCCATTGACGGTGGATGCACGGTGCCAGCCAGTGATGCAAGGTTCTTTTGGTCCCTCTGAACGTTGCTGTTTTTAGAGTGAACCCAAGTGATGCCCTGCTCAGACGGCTGAGTTGCTGGCGAACAACTGCTGTTGACCTGGGAACGGCCATGCTGCAAGACAGTAACAGCCCCGAGCTTCCCGCGCTGTTCGGTGGCCGGATGCATGTGTGCAGCGTACCCATGCAATAGAAAGCAATTGTTAGTAAGGAACTTTGTTTTCGAAATGAACAAAAAATCCCGGGGTGCCGGCCGCGACAGGTCTTGGAACAGGGCTTTCAAACCGGCCACGGGCGAGGCCTCCAGTGACCCAAGCAACCTGTGCTCCAGGGGAAGCGGAGCCAGCTTAGACTTTGAATTGTGCTAATTGTGTGTTTCGCTAGCTCAGGTTGCATGTTTCTATTCTTTCCAGGGATCCTTCGTTCCAGAAAACCATCAGAACAGGGGAAGCAGCTGGTTTTTGCAAGGAACGATTATTGAAAAGAATGGTTGGAATCAACCCCTAGAATGTTTGTTGGGAGGGTTGCGCCGGAGTGATCCAGGACTGGCCCCAGCACCATTTATTTGCTCTTGGTCCTTTCTCTTTTCCCGCTCCGCTGTATCCCCGTTGTTTCCTTGTGGAACTGGATGTAGATGAATAAGCTTTGCCGAGCAGCGTGTCTAGTATTGTGGTGCTCGCAATTGAGGATGTCTCCTGCTTTGTGACTTTGAGTGCAGCTTTCGCAGGCAAACTTCCGAGACTTCTTCAAAATTTACAACAGCCTGCTGCAGGAGGGCGACTACGTGACCAAGCGCCAGGCTTCTAATGTCTCATCTCCGTTGCCTTGCCGATACTAGCAAGAAGCTGGAAAGGAATTTATGTTGCTTCATATTTCTCGCCACGGCTTGGTGTGGATGGTGTGCATTTTATCTTGATTTTGAGCAACGAAACGGAGGCGTTGAAGCTGCTCAGTGACCTGCTGCTGGGGCGGAAGTTCATGAGGACAGAGGTTTTAGTTGGTTGTATTTGGAGACCCGTTGAACGGGTTCTGGCACACAGCTTCCCGTTCCGATCGCTTGCACCAAGGTACAATCTAGTCACTAGTCGTATCCAAAAAGGGAACCCATTTGTTAGAGCCCATTTCGTGTCGCCCAATGCGGGAGGGTCTAGCTATGAGTGAGAGAGATCATTTCCCGCGAGGGTCATGATGATGTACATCGGAGATGACTCCTACTTGCAGATTCACATGGAACTGCTGCGGGACGACTCTAAGACCATACAGCTAGAGGTGCAAGAGAGAATTGGAATGTTGTGCTGGTGGTCTATTTTTGTATGGGGAGTAGCTGCAGGCCTTTCACATCTTCAAGATCTTTGTGGCGAACCCGAACAGACCACCTCGAGTTCATGCGATCTTGTTCAGGAACAAGGAGAAGATATCAGCCAGGGCTGCGCGGGAGAGAGTCTTCAAGAAGCCATGTGTGGGCCAAGGGCAGTCGCTGAGAGGCAAAATGGGAAGCGACTGGTCAGGAGGGACTCATGAAGCTCCTGCATGAGTTGACTCCGCATCGGCCTGACGACAAGCAATTCCTGGAGGCCTGGACTGGACCGTGGGGTGAAAAAAATATATGTGTCAAACGAGGGATCCGAATTTTGCCATGGTGTGGCTCAAAATTAAACAGCTGGGGTTGCGCGGGTTTTAGTCTACCCTTTCCATTTGCTAGGGCTCCATTTTGGACCCTATTTTCGAGCCACATGGCTTGCCTTTTGACACTATGATCCCGTGGATGTTCCATAGACTTGCTTGCTTGCTTGTTTGCTTGCTTGCTGCTGTGTGCCTTCCAAGGACATGCGGACGGTGCTCAGCAAGCTTGAGGCCTCCTCCGCGAAAATGGGGTTGGTTTCCGTCCAGCATCTCTACTCGGAAGGGAATGCAGGAGACCATTTCTCGAGGGTACCCGCTTGTTGGGCGATTTTGAAGGGACACCAAGGGGAAGCCACCCATTTTTCTAGGGGACACTTCCCCATTCTTTCCAGGGATCCTTCTTTTCAGAAAACCAGCAGACACCAAGGGGAAACAGCTGGTTTTTGAAAAGAACCATGGTTGAAAAGAATGGGGAATCAACCCCCATAATTTTCAGGCTTGCCCCCATGAAAGCCCAGACGCATTTGCTCCAGGCTTTGGAGCCACCACCGCGCATCGAGAAGTCAGGTGGCTATCAAGGAGTGTGAGTCATGTTGCCATGTGACCGGTACATCGGGGGGGTTCTCTAAATAGGGTCCCCCCAAAATTGGTGGTTTCCAATTGTTTTCCCTTAAATGCCCACCAAAACCGGGTCTGCCATGTTTTGTGAGATTGGAGAAAGTTCGCAGATCCTTTGGGAAACTTGCAGCATTTTGCTGTTTCATGGGAACATTGTCAGTCCAGGAGGAACTCAACCAGATCCTTCGCCAAAGTCCCGTGGCAGTGCCACTTGACTTGCACGTACATATCACATCAACTTCTCACGTGAAGCAGCGGCGCCTGAGGCGCCTGGAGTCGTCCCTCACTGAGCTTTCTGTGGCCGAAAGATCTCGCAAGCTCCCGGCCTTCGAGTCGATTCTCACCTGAAGGCGCTGTGAGTGGAACGGCCGGAGACACCGGCAAGAGGCATGGGGACGATGTCGCAGTTTTCGTGAGATGAGGGAGGGTCGTTGTGGGTGACCTGATCGCAGGACCAAGATCACGGCGGCAACTTCGCTTGCGCGTGCTTGATACGCAAGTCCAGGCATCAAGCCTTATCGCAGTTGATGCTCGGCAGAGTTCGTGCATAGCAGAGCACGCACGCTTGCAATACTGCGGTGCTTGCCATTCAAATGCTGCACTAACGCTGAGCATCATACTTGACTCAACAGCATGTCTAGCTTCCGAAAGTACCGGATCTCACCACACTGCCAAAGAAAGGTGCGACCAGTTGCCATGAGATTGGCTCTCTGATCCCCTTTGTTCCATGGGCCGCGGCCACTGCTTTTTAAAACTCTGTTTGACAGGTCCAATCTGATTTTAGCGGCCGTCAAGACCACTTGTATTTGCTGCCTGGCGCATTGGGCCGTCTTGGACTTTGGTCCAAACTCTGGCTTTTGGGAGGATCAGCTGGACGCGTGCTGTACCCTTCCCGGGTCAGCGGTCGCTTTCCCCATGGCATTCCGCAGATCAAAACGGCCCAAGGGTGAGAGTGTTTTCATGTGTGCGTCAGGGTGGCGACGTGACGTTGTGCGCTTGAACTCACTGCATGCTGAACGCAAGTTTTTGGCGCAAGCTGATGGTCGGACTCTCACCAAGTGACGTGCGCTCCCCAGTTTTGCCGTGTGCAAAGGGGGAGCATGCTTGAACAATGCGGTGCCAATGTGCAAGCCGCAGCCCAAGGAGCAGTGACCCAATGCGGGCGCCTGAAATGGCTGTCTGGGGCGTGCGTCGCTTGCGTCGCGTGTCGCGTGTCCCGCTGGATGCTGGGGGGAAGGGTCCTCGAGGTTTCTGAACTGTGCTTGTTGCACCTCTGCAGTGAACGATCAGGCACGGAGATGGGTTGGGATTCAAGTGTCTGGTCTGAAAGATGGATATTCATCGTGAGTATCCTTGTACCGAAGTTTGTCGGCCCGCCAGCTAGTCAGTCACGGGTCAGTTTGGTGAATGAGCCCTTTCGAACTCCAACCTTTCCTTCGCCCTCGGCTCCATGTTGGCATGGTTTGCGCCCCTTCTTTCGTTGCATCCCAGCAATGCGGGGGCAAGCGATCTTGACATGGCAACATGCCATGATCGGCCAAGATATTGTCGGAAGCCTGAACCAAAGGCTTCAGGACTGCATGGATAGTTGCGGCTGTGTGAGACCGATTTACCCCAAAATCTGCAGAATTCAAACTGCCCTTCGTGAAAGCAAACAAATCAAGCGATTCCTGTCCAGAAGAACTATTCTGGAACTGAAACGGCAGAAACGAATCTTGCGAGCGGAAACAAACAGACAAAGCACACAGCCTTTGGCTGTGAACTTAAATGGAATGTTGAGGTATGGAGGCTTCTTCCGTCTTCACCAGTCTTATCTGCAACACGTGCTGTTGAATACTCGAGAAACAAGAGACGTTGGAGGCCAACCTTTCGGGGCGGTGGCTGTGGGTACCTGCAGCGACATGTGACATGTGTGACGTACTATCAAGCGGGATTCGGGTGACTCTTTTTTGCTTTCAGCATGTATTTGCTTTCAGCGGGTCGCGCCTCTAGTTCTCTAAATGTGAGCTGGGACGCCTTGAGGGGAAGGCGGCCTACGGTCGCTGTGGTCATTGCTCTTCCTCCATGGCCAAAAACCGATTCGAGCATTTTAGTTGCATGGCCAAAGCGTGCCGTGAGAAGGCAATGAGGTCAAAAGACCCCCGTACCCTGAAGGAGTTTAGTACACCTTGTGTGTTGCTCCAGGGCCATGTCCCCGAGTGTCGATTTTCGGCACTTGGCAGGAAGCATCCTTTCATCCGAGGCGGTGGCGCCCTCAGATCTGCTGATCTGCTTCGTCTTGCTTGACCGTCCCAGTCGCCCAGGCCAGAGGATGTGGAGCACTTTGGACCATACCAAGTGAAAGGAGACGTGTGCACGCCTTCGGCACGTGGCTCGTTTGCCACCCTTGCACGTGCCCTGAGCACCGATCAGGAGCTACAAAGGAGGCCTGGGGATTTGGAAAGCAATGGATGCTCGCAGTCTTCCGGGGAAAGTGCAAAGTTGATCGAAGTGAAGCATTTGTAGGCGAGCAATCCAGAGATTGTACCCGAGTGCCGGGCTTGGACAGGGAGCATGCGCAAGCAAGATGGACGCAGCCTGAATCATGAATTGGGTATGGGTCAAAATTTAACCACCAGGGGACCGCAGGTTTTAGTCCTTGGTTCCATTTACCAGGGTTCCATTTTGGGTACCAATTTTTGACCCACCACCAATTTGGTGTTAATCTTCCAGTCATTTAGCCTCCTGTGCAAGGCCACCATCCGGAGGCCAACTGGGTTGCGAGGGTGATGTGTGACTAATCTCTTGCACAGCTTTTATGAAACTAATTTATTTTATGCCCGTAGGGGCATTCAATGTGGGCTGCTATTTGTTTGCTTGTGGCATGGCATTTCCTGTGTGGAGGGCATATTCGCTCTCAGACTATCAGCTGCCGAGTTGATTTGACCCTTGTAGCGTCCTATTCTCACCTTGGCAGTAACTTCGGCAAACCCACACACACACACATGTCTCATTGTGTAGGTGCGACAAGGACGTGCTATCCCTTTGTGGTAGTTTGTTGATCATGTCATCGTCCTCGGAAGCACAATTCAGTGACAATTCAGAGCACCATCATGAGCCAGCGACATCTACCGTGTTGAGCATCAGCACCTGTTCCAGCGACAAACCTTCAATCCGGAGAAGCTGCATTTCTCGACTTAAACAGTGTAAACATGCAATGCTTGACCTGGACTGGAAGATGTAAAGGTTCTCACAACGCAACGAAGGCAGAAGCATCTTTTGAAACGGCAGGTGTTGTGGTGTAGGTGTTGTGGTGTGATATGCTGTGATGTGCCGTGTTCTGCTGTGTTGTGATGTGAGGTGGTGCGGTGTGTTTTTCATGGAAGCCCCAGAGATGCACCCTGGCAATCAGTTGGTTGCCGCGGCGGTGCAGGCAGAGTTGGCAGCCCGAGCAAGAGTGGCGTGCTCTTGGCAACATTGAGGGAATTGTGGCGTCGCAATCTGCGCGCAAAGTGGCTGTATACAGCTGCATCACGAGAGCTGCGCCAGGCTACAGTCTCGTTCGGGGAGGCATCTGTCCAGGAGTATTCCTTTCCGGTGGCTGGAAGAAGGAGCCCGGTGATGGAGCCTTTCTTGGGGCATTTATCCTCAACAATTGGAGGGGTTGGTCAGAGTTAAAGATTGCGAGCCGGTTGAGGGGTAGACAAACACATACAGCCATGGTCCGAGAATAATTATGCAAGTTCACCCAGACATACTTGACACTGTGAGGACACAGAAGACGCACACACACACCACACACACACACACCTACGCAGCCACACACCCACACACACCCACCCGCCCACCAACTCACCCACGCACGCACGCACGCACGCGCAAGCGCACACGCACACGGACACGAGCTCGGGTGTTCGCGTGCGCGTGCACGCACGCACGCACACATGCACACACACGCACGCACCCAGACACACACACACACAAACACAAACACAAACACAAACACAAACACAAACACAAACACAAACACAAACACAAACACAAACACCCACACCCACGCCCATACCCACACCCACACCCACACCCACACCCACACCCACACCCACACCCACACCCACACCCACACCCACACCCACACCCACACCCACACCCACACCCACACCCACACCCACACCCCCACCCCCACCCCCACCCCCACCCCCACACCCACCCCCACCCCCACCCCCACCCCCACCCCCACCCCCACCCCCACTCCCACCCGCACCCGCACCCGCACCCGCACCCGCACCCGCACCCGCACCCGCACCCGCACGCACGCACGCATGCACGCGCGCGCGCACACATGCGCACACACACACACACACACACACACACACACACACACACACATCCACACCCGCACCCGCACCCGCACCCGCACCCGCACCCACACGCACGCACACCCAAACCCACACCCACACCCACACGCACACGCACACGCACACGCACACGCACACGCGCGCACACGCACACGCACACTCACACGCACACGCACACGCGCACGCGCTCGCGCACGCGCACGCGCACACGCCCGCACGCCCGCCCGCACACACGCACGCCTGCGCGCACGCGCGCGC